GGGTTCTCCGGGCAGTTTGGAGGATTTGGTACCGTTGGTCGAGGGAAATTCGAAATCAAAGGGAGGGGATGCAGAGCCAGTGGTGGGCTCGTCTCTCGCGAGAGACTGCAGCACCGCCGTCGCGGCTACAAGAGTCTCGTCCGCACCAGCCATTGTGCCCTAGGACCTGGTTAGTCGATCCACCAGGGCCGTGATGATATAGAGAGGCCAAGACTCCAAGACCTCGCGTTTATCTGTCCGCGAGACCCTGCCAATCAGAGAGATCTAAGGCGAGATCTCTCGCTCTCCTGGACACCATGAAATGCTGGTGGGCTAGGATGGGGTGCCGTTTCTCCCCCAAAAAGGGAGTTCGGGACGGTCGAACGCCGAAGCGGAACCATGACAAGCAACAAACTTACTGGGACGGGTTCCTGACACGACAGATCCAACGAGCTGGTTATAGCGACATGGGGTGATTCCAGAAGACTTTTTCTGCGGGACGGCGATGAGGGTCTTGTACAGGGACGTCCCGAGTGTCGGCGGAATCGGGGATGTCGAAAGGGAACCCTGAGAGAGGGAGTTCAGGATGTTCAGGATGAAGGGGGAGGGGAGAACGGTCGCCCGGTAGGGCGGTTATGTAAGCGACGCGTTCTTTGCGGGGGAGACAAGGCCAATGAAATAAAGTATGGGAAGAAAAGAAAAAAGGTTGAAAAGTGATCTGAAGATCCGGCAAATTTAGGGGTTTTCAGGGGGGGGAGGAGGGAAGAGCTGGTTCCCAAGTCGAAAGTGGAGGTAGAGCCGATCAGAATCATTCGGAGGGAACGGAGGAGGAAGATTTCAAAAGGGGCGGCGGTGCCCATGGGCTGCTAGATTTTGTGGGATCCTTGGAGACGGTGGAGAGAGAAGGAGGGAGTCTTTGGTACTTTCCAGTACTGTACTACAACATAGCTGCTACTATAGTATGTATTCCGTACTGCGTATCTATTACTTGTAGGCGTGAGGTTGGGGTTATCATTAGGTTCTCCTTTACCGTGTTTGCTCAGTCTTCGGGGACTTCTTGATCCACCATTTATTCAACATCCACACTTGCCGCAGAAAACAAAACTCGCTCTGTATAACGGCGATTGCATGAGCGTGTCCAAGTGACTTTGATTCCGACTTGCGAGTGATGCCAACGCACGGACAGAGTGCGCTAGGATAGAGTTCACCCGCAAAACCAGGGTATTATCGAAGGACATTCCACAGCTACAACGATTGACCGTCTAAGCCATATAACTACAGTCTGCCAGTGTTCCAGCGATATCGACTCCGAGTGTAATCTGAGATCTCTAACCCCAGACACGATTACTCCTGAATACGACTGCCCACCCAAACAGCCTCTGCCGTCCTCCCTTGGGCCCGCACTGCAAATGGCCGGGCTGAAAAGCGTGAGGATCACCGCCGAAACCATGTTCGCCTAGTGGCGATCGCACGGCTTCAAAATCTTGACCCCCGGCTTCAATGAACGATTTATAAACCCTCTTCTGACCTTCCTGATTACTCGATTATCATATCTACCATCATGATTCTTGAGAAGAAACTCCTTGGCAAACCAGTCAGTCAGAAAATGTGCGGCGCTCGAGAGAGACACACACAACTGACAGAGCGTCTGATAGGAGAAGAACGAGAAACCCACTGGACCTCTAAGTGATCCAAGTGGGGAAGATCCAGTCCACGAACCTTAGTCCGAGCCAGTGAGAAGTGGACTCGGGAGGTTCGTTGTCTCGGGGAGGTTGTGCCACAGCCCCATACTGTAATTGAACGGATTGAAACTGTCTGTCCGTATTCGCTACGTGAGGTAACTAGCCCGCTGCTAACTGAACTGGTCAGTTAATGTTAGCACCGACGATTATCCACCTCGGGTAACGAGCCTGTGGCTGAGCCGTTTTCTGAAGCCGTTTTCCGAGCCTCTACGGTCGCAAGCGATTGGCTGTGCCAAACTCCATCGTTGGATGGATCATTATTGAGCCCAGGGAGAGTAAGGTTCCAACGGCACTTCGTACCTGAGAGTGCGAATCCCCGAGTCCGTTGTGAAGCCCTTACGCTGGGGGAATCCTTGACTGCCGGAGATCCGAAAGGGCTGTTCTCCGGTCACTGGATTCATGGAAGGGCTGATCTTGCTCTCAAGATCAAGTATCAAGCTGAAAAGATGATCGCATCCTCGAGTCATGGCGCATATACTGCAGACTGGGGTTGGGGGAGCACTTTTGCAACGGACGACGTGATAGCGCATCGCCCTGACGAATGGGCAACGAACAAATGTTAGGGTAAGCACACTGACCGCAGGATTGACTCGGAGATAAATGAAGACTATGCATCCGGCGGTCAATACTCAGCCAGTCGAGCATAGTCCGACACGGTGCAGGGAAAACAGGGTGAAATAGGCGATGATAAGGCTGGGCGGAAATGCTCAGTCACTATCTATCCGATCGATAGATCGCCCGAATCTTACTGTAGGGATCTGGAGAGGGCTTACAGCCTTACACATCCATCGGTGACTATTGGTGTACTCGAGGTGGGCGGCATTGGGGAAAAGAATGTATGAAGTACTCCGCAAATAAAGTGAGTCGTAGGTAGCTACTCCAACATTTTGCCCAGGATCGTATATCAGCTGAATCCTGAACCCCTAAAGGTGAACGCGTTAGCCAATTTTATAATGAGACTTTAGACTAGCATAGGATGTTGATTCAAGTCTGATCCTACTGATACACAGTTTTTCCACAATTCATTGTACTGTATTCTATGATTGAAGGACTGCTGACACTCCAAAGCCTGCTACGATAGTATATACATGCTCCGTCCAGAAAAGTCTTGTGGACTGAGGCAGCCGATGGCGGGGTGAAACGGCAGAAGTGGTCGCTGTGCCCCGCCGGAAACCGATACCGGGAAAAGAGTCATCGTGAATTTTGGCAGGCACGCCAAAGACCGATTCCCCTCCCCACCAAATCGCTTTTCGCCAAAATTATCCCTCTGCAGGATACGGCTGCAGTCATGGCGTCCGACCTCACAAAGCCCGTTCTGGACGCCCTGTCCACGTCCGATGCGCCCATCCTTTCCAACGAAGCCTTCCCCTCCCACCCCTCATCGAATGTCAAAAGTGCGCTGGACCGCCTGGGGTCGCGACAGATGATCGAATATGAGACTCTGGAGAAGGAAGTCATCGTGCTCACCTCCGAGGGTGAAGAGATTGCCGCCAATGGCAGTCACGAGGCCAAGGTCTTTGCGGCGGTCGTCGCCGCCCTCGACGGCCTGAAGATTAGCGACTTGCCCGGCCTGGTGGGGAAGGACAATGCCAAGGTTGGCCAGGGCAATGCCTTCAAGCGCGGTTGGATTAAGAAGGACAATGATAAGCTGCGTGCTGTCAAGGAGACTATCGTCGACGAGACCCGTGAGCAACTGCTCGCTGTGCAAAAGACCAAGACCGTGGCCGATGCAAAGGCCCTCGCAGATCTCAAGCGGAGGAAACTGGTCTCCGCCTCCAAGGACATCGCCTACAAGATCTCCAAGGGTCCCAAGTATGCCCGAGAGTTTGTCAAGGAGGAGACTGACCTCACCCCGGAGATGCTCGCCGACGGCTCCTGGAAGACCGTCCAGCTGAAGCCCTACAACTTCAACGCCAAGGGTGCCATCACTCCTGCCGGTACGCTGCACCCGCTGAACAAGGTGCGCCAAGAGTTCCGCAACATCTTCTTCGAGATGGGTTTCGAGGAGATGCCGACCAACCGCTATGTTGAGACCGGCTTCTGGAACTTCGACGCCCTCTTCGTGCCCCAGCAACACCCTGCCCGTGACCTCCAAGATACCTTCTATATCGCCGACCCTCTCAAGGCCGACCCCCCTCGTGAGGATCCCCAGAACGACTCGCACCTCCCCAAGGCCGCCCAGGCTGCCTCGCAAGCAACCAAGGACAAGCCCGTGGACTACCAGCAGTACTGGAATAACGTGCACGAGGTTCACGAGCACGGCAAGTTCGGCTCCATCGGCTATCGCTACCCCTGGAACGCCGAAGAGTCTCTCCGCCTGGTGCTCCGCACCCACACCACCTCCATTTCGGCGAACGTGCTGCACAAGCTCGCCGCCAACCCGCGGCCGGCCCGCTTCTTCAGTATCGACCGTGTCTTCCGAAACGAGGCCGTCGATGCCACTCACTTGGCAGAGTTCCACCAGATCGAGGGTGTCATTGCTGACTTTGGTCTCACTTTGGGTGGTCTGATTGGCTTCATGGAGGTCTTCTTCGCCAAGATGGGCATTCACCAGCTCCGCTTCAAGCCTGCTTATAACCCTTACACCGAGCCTAGTATGGAGATCTTTGGCTACCACGAGGGTCTGGGTAAGTGGGTGGAGATTGGTAACAGTGGTATGTTCCGGCCTGAGATGCTGGAGTCCATGGGTATCCCCAAGGATATGAGAGTCTACGGCTGGGGATTGAGTCTGGAGCGTCCTACCATGATCAAGTAAGTACCCCATGGTGTGCATTTTCTTATATCAATTATTCTAACTTCCTTCTTCAGGTACGGTGTGAGCAACATTCGTGAGCTGCTTGGCCACAAGGTCGATCTGAACTTCATCGAGACCAACCCGGCTGTGCGTTTGGAGAAGGAGTAAAAAGAAAACCCACGTCTCACGAGAAATGGGTGATTTGCTTGTCTATAGATCAAAAAACCGTGTTGTTTTCCTGTATCAATTGTATCTTGATATGTGGAAGCCCTGGGAATCTGAACCCTAGAGAGTCTACTTAAATCACGAGTTCATGTGGAAGACAATGTATTGCATGTCAATGATGGACGAGGCTAAATGAATCATATTTCCTAACACAGCGCCGTGTAATAGAGTAGATACAACGTAGATACCGACCAGGATTTACGGAGAGGATGACACTGGAAGTTCAAGCTCAGGTATTGTCATAAAGCTAACATCTCGTATTGAGTTTACAAGGTGGCCAAGAAACTTCATTTGAGAACGAATGTATGGAACCAAAAAGCCTCGTCATAAATGCAGGTTTAAAGGTCTACGTATCTACTATGAGCGGAATAGAAAGAGAGCAGGCCGAGCATTCATGTAATTCAAACTCCAGGAATTTTCTATAGGGGGTGTCCCACCCGTATCTGTGCCCCAGTGCATGGATCTCTGCAACGGTGGCTCTTCAGAAGGCGGGTTTTGGATGTATAATATTCGGCTGGATGTGCTATTTCTACTTCCTCGCCCATGGAGAGCAGACATCAGAATCACAGATCGCGTGAGCAACCCGGTTTCTGAGTCCACAGGGATGAGGAAGCCTTGATGTGCCGGTTCGTTCAAGTCAAGAAGAGAAGAATGGAATGCAGGGGAGTGGTGTTTTTAAGCTTTTTTGAATTGATTTTTTCTTGTTAACTTTCTTTGTTCAACCTTTTTGGCTGGGTACTGGCGGAATGAGGACTCGAGAAAGACGTCGCTTCCCGAGTCATATCTATCGGGAAGAAAAGCAAAGGCGAAGAGAAGAATTGAACGGGTGGTAATCGTTCAAAGAAAACCAGACCCATGAAGTCGTCGATTCCATTTTTCATTTCGATAGATAGGACAGTAGGAAAACAGGGCTCCCTCCCGAAGGAAGAAAAAATTCAAACCGAAGGAGACATCATAAGTACTCCTCCTCCCCTTTTTTTTCTCATAACCGATCCTTCAAACTGGACCGATATAAGCCACAGTTCGTTCTATTGCGAAACGGTCAGCACCCCATCCAGACAGGCATGCAGATCTCGAGTCAGATCACTCACATCATATCAACCCGTCAACACCCTCCAATGCAAACCATACCTCAGCAGGCAAATTTAGCGCTGGCGAGAGGCGGTCCACACGTTCTTGAGGTAACCATCACGCTGGGCCAGGCGGTTGAGGGAGTCGTCGCTCTCACCGCGGGCACGGATGAAACCGCACATGGCATAGGTCTGGTTCTCGCCGGTGTAGCGGCCGTTCTCGTCAACCTTGCCGACGGAGATCTGGACAGAGGCGTGGTCGTTGGCCTTGATGATGCGGTTGGTGGCGCTGCACTTGCGGGGCACGTAGCTGTTGAGAAGAGAAGAAGAACACGTTAGTTTCTTACATGTTCAACATGTTCGATGTTCCCTCCATGATCCAATAGATGCCCTGGCGCTGGTTGCTCGCATTCATATCGCATGTATTCTGTTTCGCGAGCTGAATTGGCTTTCCAGTTCGTTCCCAACGGTCCCCGGTCATTCTATCGCTTTGCGCAGCGAAATCAGAGCCCGCGGGCTTTCGTAGAGGCAGACAACCAGAGACAGGACACCGAATGGATGATGACGGAAGCAAATTCGAGGATAGAGGCACGTACAGATCGACGATCTCTCCCTTCTCGTTCTCCATTTTGGCTGATTGTGTATGGGGGGTTTCGACGGGCGACGGTGAGGTTGGAAGTGGTGGGTTTTTTGGTGGCCCATAAAATCAAAGACTCAAATGATTTGTGTGGGTCATGTGACCATTTGTCGAGGGCTGGCGTGGCCGGAAGGCGGTGGGGCGTAGATTTACCACTGTGCCCTCATCGATGGCCGTGGCAATAATGTGGACCCATACTTGAAGATTCGCCTGATCAAGACATGTACAGTACGGTAGTATTATTCTGATCTATACTATGTAGATACTCATGTAAGAAGCTTTCTAAGAGTAGGGACTAGTCCGATGTATAGTCTAAATCTTACTCCGCTCTTCTTTGAAAATATCCTTCTTCCAGGCGACGGTCACCTCTCTGGCAGTTCCCTTGGTGAACCGCACAAGGACAACATACTCCGACTCGCCTCGTCGGTTGGATCCCTTCAGCTCAAGACCCGGATCATGCAGCGCTAGAACTGCACGTCCATCCTCCATCACTTTCATCATCTTGGGAGAAATGCACTTGTGCGTCCAAGGGGGGGAGCCTGAGTGCACGAACTCAACGAGCCCGGCTCGGCGTTTTTCCATTTCCTCAACAGAAATACCCGATCGAGGTTCATTGTCAAGGAACCCGGACACCAAATGCAGTAGAAGGAACTGAGGTGGGAAGAGGATGATCTCTCCACTCTGTGCGCGGCGCAGCCACTCCGCGGCCGGGAGGAACTGTGCTTCTGTAACCTCGATACCACCGTCACTGGAGGGGACTTGGATTTCTTCGCGCTCTCCTTCTTTTGGCAGCTCATTCAGTAACTTCTTATCCGCATTCACGGGCAATGGCATGAAGTAGATATACATTTGAGTTGTATAGCGCTTGGGGTTCGTGGTTGGGGTAACCCATCGGCTGAACGGAATCAATTGGTCTTTCACATGTTAGTCAGGAATCGAATGGGCATGATCTTCAGAACAGCCACAAACCTGTATCAGGCTCAGCATTCGGATGTTGTTGCTTTAGCCACTCATCAAATGTCACTTTGTTCTGATGAATGAGCTTTCGACCTTGGTCGCGAGTGGCTTCATTAACAACAAGCATCTGGCCTGAGCTCCCATCCTTGGCAAGGAGAATCCCACTCTCCTCAAACAACTCTCGAATTGCTGCCCGTCGGTAATGAGGACCATCTTCGTGCCTGGAAAGGTCTCCTACGGCCGGGCATGGACCATCTTGCCTAGACAAGTTTCCACCAGGGAAGACATGGGCCGACGCGAAGGAGGTCGATGTCTTGACCCGATGAAGTAGCAGGATCTCGTTCTTGGGCGAGACCAGAATTACACTGATACATTGTCAGTACGGAGTTGTTCGTCTCTCGAACATGCGGTGGTTTTTGGTGACAATCTTCACCTCCGCTTAACCGGGACATGAGTTGCGTGACGCGAGAACGCCAGGCAGGCAATGGCTTACCTAGAACTGGGCCGAGCCAATGCAGGCTGTTTCTTCCCCTCGCTATCCCCTTTCGCTCGCGACATTTTCTGAAAATGAGGTGAAGATGTGGCTGGGATTGATTTTGTTGAGTAACCTCTAGCAGAATCTCGTCGGCTTCTGTCCGGTAAAACTAGCCAAGGCCAAGGAATGAGGGATTGTAACCGGGATTGTCGAGTCCTAAGTCGCTGTGTAGAAACGGGTTTCAACCAGCTGCTGCAAATGGCTCTTGGGAGTATGATAGACATCTCCTAGGGCCGGTATAGCTCTGCCCTTGAGGATGTTTATAGTCAAATGGCCGTTGACCCGAGAGCCTAGGCTTATCCCTGTACCCCGCGCCCGCCTTGACCGCATCGGCGCGAGCCGACATGCCTCGCCATGTGCTTCGGCTTCGGCTACATCTGAAAAATACTACCTACGTGCAACGACTATGACTGTGGAAAAACTTTGAATGAACGAGTAACTCGTTGAATCAATAGATACTCATTAAATAAAAAGCGTAACTCCTCGAATCTAACTCCAGCCCTTATCATACCCCATTTTTGTTATTTTCGAACCCGTAGCATCATACGGAAATTCCCTCTCAAGTCATATTCACAGCGGGAATAACCATCCATTATTCAGAAAAAAAACTTTGCATTTACGCGTAAAGCTTCTTGTCGTAGCTGTGCAGGCCGTGGACGTTACCCTCGACCTGGGCACTAGCGCTGCGCATCTCGAAGCGGACAATGCCCTTGTTAACACTGTCGTGCAGCTCATCCAGAGACTTGACACCCATGTCTTGGAGGGAGTGCTGGACACCGGTAACGAGGTAGGGGATGAACTTGTTGACGGAGCCACGGTCCAAGACAGAGCCAGCAACACCTTGAGCAACCAGGACGCGGGAGTTCTCAGAGAAGTAGCGAGCGGTACCAGCGTTGCTGGCCTTGTTGGTCTTGCTGTCCTTGCTGTTACCACCGGCCTTGCGGTCTTCCATGGCGGCGATACTGCCCATACCACGGTAAGACTTGACAAGCTGACCCTCGTTGCTAACGAAGTACTCGCCGGGGGATTCAGTGGTACCGGCCAGAAGGCCACCCATCATGACGGTGCTAGCGCCAAGGGCCAGACCCTTGACGATGTGACCAATGTTCTGGACACCGCCATCGGCAATGCAAGGAACGCCGAAGCGAGCAGCGAAAGCGGAGACGCTGCGGACGGCAGCAGCCTGGGGACGGCCGACGGCCATAACCTCCTGGGTAATGCAAGCACTACCGGCACCCATGCCAATTCTCAGGCCATCAGCACCGGCGGCAATAAGCAAAGCAGCCTGCTCCTTGGTAACAACGTTACCAGCGATAACATCAATCTGGGGGAACTCCTTCTTGATGTACTTGAGCATTTCAATCTGGTACATGCTGCTGCCGTTGCTAGAATCCAGGATAACAATGTCCAGACCGGCCTCGACAAGCAGCTTGAGACGGTACTTGTCCTCCTCACGAGTACCAATGGCGGCAGCACAGATGAGCTGCTTGGAGTCGGGGAGCTTAGAGGCCAAGGGGTAGTGGAGGTTCTTCATCAGATCGGAGCGGGAAAGGAGAGAGACGAGGTTGCCAGAGGCATCAACGATGGGCAGCTTGCCCTTCTTGGACTGGCGGAGAACTTCATTGGCCTCAGCAAGAGTGGTGCCGGCGGGGGCAGTGACCAGGTCAGTGGCCATGATGGCGGTGACAGGCTCATCAAGGTTCTTGTGGAACTGGATGTCACGGGAAGTGACCATACCAATCAGCTTGGAGCGAAGGGTTCCGTTCTCTGTCACAAAGTCATCGTTAGCATTCAGGCCAAATGAACAGTGTGAAACAAATTGAGTTTGTTGGTGACAAGATCAGATAAAAAGTTTCTCTACAGTGCAACTCTCGTTGCTGCCAGTGGAACGAAAGTTATAATGAAAGGTTTGTTCATCATGCAAAAATGTGGGGCAATGTTGGGTGAACAGGAATTTTCTTTTTCAATCAACTTACCAGTGACGGGGAAGCCACCGAAACCCCACTCGGCCTTCAGATCCTTAGCCTCTCCGACAGTAGCTTTGGGAGAGAGAACAACGGGATCCAAGATGAAACCGTTCTCGTATCTCTTCACCTTGCGAACCATCTCAGCCTGGTCCTCAGGGGCGCAGTTGTGGTGGATGACACCCAGACCACCGAGTAGGGCCATATGGATAGCCATGTTGTGCTCGGTGACAGTGTCCATGGGAGAGGACAGAAGGGGGGCCTTCAGGGTGATGCGCTTGGTGACAGGGGTATCCAGGCTAACATCGGAGGCAGGGAAGCCTGTTAATCGGCATCGTTAACACTTAGGCCTCGGAAAACCTGCGAATGTGTCCGGCTTACCGATATAACCAGGCAGGAGCAGGAAATCATTGTAGGTCAGAGCTCCGTGCTTATCCGAGTCCAGGAGGGTGTCCACATCGAGACCATCCTTGGTGGTGTAGGTCTTTACGACCTCGAGGGCCTTGGTGTAGTCCTCGATCTCGGCCTTCATGGCGGCACCAGGCGTGGCGTCCTTGTTGGTAATGGGCATAATTGAAAAGAATGAGACTCTGAAATCAGAGACAATGGGGTATCCAAGAAAACAAAGAGAAGATTGATCAACAGAAGATAAACAATCTGTTGATGGAGAGAGACCAGCTTTCCCAAAGAAAAGAAAGAAGAAGAAAAAGTTCGGGCGGGCAGTCTCTTCCTTTTCTTTTTTTCTGCGACCAGCGGCCCTTTCCCACTTTGGGCCTAGCGCTCAAGCTTTTTTCACCCCTCATGGCGCCCATTGGCTAGTTACCGAGTTTCCATCGGGCGGTGAGGCCTCGTTGCTTAGGAATGATGACGAGGACTGAGTAAGAGGATATGTATGTAGACTAGCTAGTTAGTTAGTTACGGGTTCTATAGATTAGAAGTTGGATTTTTCAGCTGGCTGACCCATATCAAAATCAACTATCCTACAGTGTATAGCTCAAACTCTATACTCCTAGGCAAATACGTCTACATGAAGGAGTAAACCAGATGCTCCATGATACGTGCCAGGCACAAGGATTGAGTAATTAACAGACTGGTTGACAAGAATCTACGAGTTCCTCGCACCTGATCCATGGATCAGTCTCACGATAAATAATGTGATATTAACATTGAACAATCGGTCTTTTACTCCCAGGGGCGGGTCCCTACAACACAATGACGACAACATGATAGAGAGTAATATAACCGTCTTTCTCCGGGAATTCTTTTCAAAAGGACAATTTGCTTCTTGCACAATCACCTAGCCCTATCTTACTTTCACTTTACACTCAATCCGGAGAAATCATCATTATTCTTGCCGCAGGATGTCATCTCCAATGGGCGAGCTCGGTGCGTTCAAGGCTCCCGCGGTAGCACAGAGTCAATCGAAGCCCGGGTAAGATCTGTGAACGTGTGATACATTGATGTATCACTTCAGCTGAATCAACTCAGTCTAGAGAGTAGACTAGCAATCCCGAGCGAGTCGAGCAAATTGGAAGGTCCAGGAGGCTTTGTGGAGTATGTGGGCTCAGGGAAACTCAAAGGCAAGAAGGTCCTCATCACTGGAGGGGAGTATGTTAGCCCTTGAATATCATAAGGCATCTCCACGATAGCTAATCCTAGATTAGCTCTGGAATCGGTCGCTCTGTTGCCATTCTAATGGCAAGAGAAGGAGCTGATATCAGCATTGTCTTTCTCCTGCCAGAGCAAGTGGATGCGGAGACCACCAAAAACTTGGTGGAGAAGGAGGGTGTTCGGTGCCTTCTTATCTGCGGAGATTTAAGAGACCTGGAAGTTTGCCGTGAGACCGTGGAGAAGCATGTAGCAGAGTATGAAGACAATGCTTCTTCTGTCCTGTAATAATGAGACGCTGACTCTCGGGTTCATTCAGATTCGGCAAAGTCAACATACTCGTCAATAATGCGTCGAAACAATACATGCGCAAGGACTTTTCCGAAATTGATCTTGAAGAAACACAGGATATATTTAAGACCAACATCATCCAGATGATTGCAATGGCGAAGTTCGCTCTCCCTCACATGTGTCGGGGCGACTCGTACGTCCGAACGTTTCAATCTTGCGGATGCCACACGCTCACAATTTCAGTTCAGTATCATCAACACTTCGTCTGTCGTGACTTTCCGAGGATCAGGTACAATGATCGACTATGCTGCAACGAAAGGCGCCATCATCGGCTTCACTAGATCGCTAGGGGCGCATTTAATCCCGAAAGGCATTCGAGTCAATGCCGTGGCGTAAGCAACTGCTGTTTCTGTTCAACATCAACTTCAAGGGCTAATCTCGTGGTTGTCAGACCGGGTGCCATATACACGCCTATCCAAGTTGACACCCGGAAGGCGAAAGAAATGGAGAATTGGGGCTCACAGACACCTCTAGGTCGACCCGGTGAGCCGAGTGAGGTTGCAACCAGCTTCATATTCTTGGCGAGTGCGGATGCTGCCCTCTATTGTAAGTATAATTCTAAATTGGAGGAAGATGCCTCGTCTCTGGGATGTCTGCATTGTCGCGGTGTGAAGCTAATCCGAATCTTGATATGTAGACGGGCAGGTTCTGCATTGTTATCCAATCGGAGACTAGAGGCCTCACGGGCGCACTTGATATTCTACCAGATAGTAGTCATGTTTTGAGTCATTCTTTTGCTGCAGATTAAATTTTACTTCGTGACCTCTTTCCCGAATCTTCCCGAAGCCATCCTCGTTGTAATCGACCAAAATGTCATGGCAAATTTATCAGGACAGGAGCCAAGGCTTTGCGCCAGCCAGGGCCTTATCCCACCCTCCGTCATTCTGCCAAATCGCGATGCTCTCCACCTCATCCCTGCCTAGCTTGAGCCCATTATACAAGTGCTGTATTTCAAATTCGAGTTAGTAAAGTATAATGTCCAACGCGAAGCCAACGAGGATTCCGACTTACCGGAAACAGTCCCTCCCTGGGCCGCGGACTGCGCACTTTTCCGTCTGGTGATTCCCATCGAATATCCTGGATCACGTCCGCATAGTGGATACGTAGGATATACACAAGCGGCTCCTCGCTAAAGAAGAGTTTCAAGGTATTGGGCACCTGCGATGCCGTTGATAGGTGGATGAATCCGGAGTTCTGATCCAATTCGCTGACTGGCAGTCGATCGGGAAGTGGCTCGCGCACCGGCGCCGTGGAGGGGATGATCTTGTAAATGTATCTGGGCTGGGTTTCGAGTGTCGCCATAATTGTTATGTGACAGCGCAGCCGCTGAGTGCTTGTAGATGGGCAGCAAAAGGAAATTGAGAGAGAACTGAGAGGAAGGGTTGGTCTCAGCGGGAAGTTTTTACGGTTGGGCCCATGTCATGATTCTTGCGTTATTCCCTAGCTTTGTGGGGTGAGCGGTTCAACTTACCTGACACTTACATCACGCATCTATGGACCATGAACGATCGAGTAATGAGTGGAGATCGTTGATATTTGTGGAGATTGTCTACAGTAATTATTCTTTGTATTCCAAGATTCAAGTGGGGACTAATGAGCTAAGATAGAAGATTCTTAGTCTGTGTTTGAAGGGGTTCGCTGTACAATGGTCAAATACAACCTTCGGCTAGACATATACAAATAGCATTTCATGATCGCAATACAAGATGGAATGATCTATCGGAGATCCGTAAAAATAACCAAATAAAGGGCGAGATCTAGTGCTTTCTTCCCCAAGATTTCCCACTCGCACCCTCTAGGGTCTTAGATGCCGGCCTGGAATAGTACTTACTCTACCTGATAGCCACCACCATCTTAACTTGCTTACACATCACTATATAGTTAACTAGTGGAGTTTTATAGTCAGTTGGGAATATTGACTAAACTTCTCAATCATCTTACTAGTCATACTTTTAAAGAAAGCTTCCTACTTGGATCGAGAGATATTATGTGGGCTATCCGCGAGGGTATCTTAAAGGACTTTGCGAAAATATAGTTATACTCCATGACGGGCTTGACAAGATTTAGCCCCGCCAGGCAGAGATCTAAGGCCCCAGGAAATCTAGGAAGTGGAGGCAGCCTTAATCCAAAGTATACTTGACATATAGATTCAGAGATCATGAGGAATAGATTGAACTATGGGCCAAGTCAAATCGAGCATGAACGGTCGGCTACAATGCCAGTGGGAGGGGCACGGGGGACTGCGGGCAAGAGGCGATGGTCGCACGGGACTACGAGACCCTCTCAACCCGGTCAAATCGATCTCGACCAACGCCAAGACTGCAACCATCCGGCCCTGGTTTGACACGTCCAACACGGGATGGACGAAGAAAAAAAGAGATCCCACGATAATAACATGGCAGATAGTGTTCGTTTGCCTCTTCATTGAGCATCAGTCGTACCAGCCAGGTGACGATAGTCCAGAAAAGCTCAAAACAGAAGCAAAGGGTGGCTGAGGATCGACGGCGATCACCTGATCGACGCTAGACCTGATTGGGAGATTTGTTTTGGGACTGTCCCGTTTGGGCTTAGAGAATCCCCGTCGCACCTGCCCAGTTTACCCCCCACCGTCCGAACACCGTCAACAAGGAGTCCATCATCGGAGTTGCCTCATCAACTCCCGTAACGCGTGTCCTGTTCGGCTTCTCACTTCTCTTCGAAAACCTCTCTGTGTCGAAATAACTCACTCCCCTGGTCGCCAAACCGATGCGACGTCGTGCTTGAGCTCACATTCCAAGGATTCACTATCCACAAAGACTCCGGGCTGCGAGAGCCTGGATTGGACTAAACAACGCCCCCCGCTTCTGCTTTAGGAGCAGGGATGCGGTCAATCGAGAACGATAACTTCTTTGCACCGCTTTTTGCATTCTTGTCGCAACGGTAATAGCGATGTCGAGTCATTTTCCATCACTCAAGCGCGCCCATACGGATCTTCCAGCGCAGTCAACAAGTCCGCTGCGACACGGATCAACCGCGTCAACCAACTCCTCAGCCTACTCAGTTGTCTCGAGCTCCTTTGCTCCTAGCCGGACAAGCACAGTTTCCTCGAATGCGTCGATCCAGAGCAGCCTAGGCCACTATCGAGGAAAGAGTGAGACGGGCCCAGCGACGATGGATACCAGTGGAGGTGGAAGCTGGGCCAATGCCGGGACGGCATATGAGAACATTAGACGGTCCCTACGACCTCTCCAACAGGCGCCCAATATTACCCCCGTGACAGCCAAGCCTCTTCCGTATCGACACTCACGCAGCAATACACTTGACGAGCCACGAATTGGAAAGGAGTACCGGCCGAGTACTCCAGATTCACCTCGCGTACACTTCAAGGAGAATGAATCACCTCGACACAGAGCTGCTACATTCGATCCCCAAACGCCGCCAAGGGGCACTACGCCTCAACATCTCTCTCCTACCCCCACGCCGGGGTCATCGAGACCCTCGTCACCTCAGAAGACGCTGTCAAATAGCCCGCACCCTCCACAACTTACCACCGCTTTGTCGGCGCCAGAACTCGAGACATTCCAAAAGTCATCGACGCGTCATCTCAGAACCCTGTCCAAGATTGCACAGTCCGGCGAGAATGATGACTTTCAGTTCAGTGCAGCAACACAATCTGTGGTGGGAATGCAAGGGCGACGACGGTTGAAACGTGCGGACTCCGTCGCGGGTGGACGAACTGGCGCGGTGTCCCCAGAGAAACCCAAGGTGTCATCTTGGGCTGCTGGGAACTGGATGGATCAACAGCGGCAATTCCTACAAGCCTACGAATATCTCTGTCACATTGGAGAAGCCAAAGAATGGATTGAAAGCGTAATCCAGAAAGAGATTCCGCCCATTGTGGGTCTGGAGGAAGCTCTGCGAGACGGTGTGACGCTCGCCGAGGTGGTGCAGGCCATGTACCCCGATCGAGTCTTGCGTATATTCCGACATGCAAAGCTACAATATCGTCATTCCGACAACATCGCCTTGTTCTTCCGATTCCTTGATGACGTGGAGCTGCCCGAATTGTTCCGTTTCGAGCTGATTGACCTTTACGAGAAGAAGAATATCCCAAAGGTCATCCACTGCATTCATGCCTTGTCCTGGTTACTTTTTAAGAATGGTATGTTGGACTTCCGCATGGGGAACTTGGTCGGACAGCTGGAATTCGAGCACCACGAGCTCGAACAGACTCAAAAGGGTCTGGATAAGGCCGGTGTCAGCATGCCCAGCTTTGCGGGCATGGCCGCGAACTTCGGCGCGGAGCCAGAACCAGAACCTGAACCGGAGCCCGTCGAGTCGGAGGAAGAGAGGATTGACCGCGAGCTACACGAAAATGAACACTCGGTCGTGGACTTCCAGGCCCAGATCAAGGGTGCCATGCTGCGGTTGAAGCTAGGCACCATGATGAATGAACTTTGGGATTTCGAGCCTTTGTTGATCGACTTGCAAGCACGCCTACGTGGTGACTGGGCCCGCCAAATCAGTCAGTACCGGCTGAGCATGCGTCAATTTGCCGTCCAGCTGCAAGCCATCAGCCGTGGTTTCATCGTGCGCCAACGACAGAATGGCGAGAAGCAATGGCGAGAGGCGCAGGAGTCCGATGTTCTTCAACTCCAGAGCTTGATTCGTGCTTCGAAAGCGCGGGCAGAAACTCAACTCTTGCAGACACGCGCTCGCCGGGAGGAGAATGCTATCAAGCAATTCCAAGCTGCCATTCGAGGTGCTCTGCAACGCAAAATTGTCTCCGACCAATGGGAAGAAACGCACTATGCCGCAAACGATGTTACGACTCTTCAAGCGGTAATCCGTGGTGCTTTGCAAAGAAAACAGATGAGTGTCCAGTCTCGGGAGGTTGAACAAGCTAGCAGCCCGATCAGATCACTGCAGGCAGTGATTAGAGGAAATCTCGCTCGTCAGCACATGTCTCAAGTGAAGACGTCTCTTCAACATGAAGCCGATGCCATCACCCTCATTCAATCCACCATTCGCTCCCTTGCATCTAAGAAACGCCACGTGCAGCTGTTGGAGGCACTTTCGAAGACTGAACACCAATGTACCGCGCTACAGGCAATGGTGCGTGGCGCTGCTGTTCGCCAGGGCAATTCAATTCTTCACTCAGAGTTAGCTGAGCATGAATCTGCAGTCACTCTTCTTCAGGGTATCCTTAGGGGGAAGGCAATCAGGAAGTTCCTGGAAGACCAGCAGGCTTCGCTGAAACAGAAAGAGAGTGTCATTTTGGACTTGCAGGGGAAGATCAGAGGTGTCCTGCTACGAAACCACCTGGCAGCAGAGCGAAGAGATCTTGAGAAGCACGAGCATCTGGTTGTGAGCCTCCAGTCCTTCGCACGTGCCGCATTGCTTCGCATCGAGGTTGGGGGACTTCTGGCACGACTTGAGGATAGTGAAGAGGAGGTCATCCAGCTTCAAGCATTGTCGAGAGCTATGCTCCTCCGAGTGCAAGTCGGCCAGGCATTGGCTGATCTGGAAGACGAGGAAGAGTTTATCGTCGATCTTCAGGCCCGTATCAGGGGTAGCCTGATCCGCAACCGCTTTGAGGAGCGACGCCGTCACTATAATGAAAACATGGAGAAGGTCATCAAAGCCCAAAGTGTCATCAGAGGCCGCATTCAGGGCCAGGCATACAAGAGTTTGACAAGCGGCAAGAACCCACCTGTTGGAACTGTGAAGGGTTTCGTCCATCTTCTGAATGACAGCGATTTCGATTTCGATGAGGAAATTGAATTTGAGCGGTTGCGGAAGGTGGTCGTCCAGCAGGTTCGCCAAAATGAACTTGCAGAACAGTATATCAGCCAGCTTGACATCAAGATTGCCTTGCTCGTGAAAAATAAGATCACCCTGGATGAAGTCGTCAAGCACCAAAAACACTTTGGTGGCCACATCGGCAATCTTTTGTCCAACACCGACATCTCCTCCAAAGACCCCTACGATCTCAAGGCTTTAAACAAGACCTCGAGAAAGAAGTTGGACCAGTATCAAGTGTTCTTCTTCCTCCTACAGACTCAGTCCCAGTACCTCGCCAGACTATTCCGTCGCCTTCGTGAGCTCAACACCTCGGACAAGGAGTATGAGCGCATCAGACATTTGATGATGGGTCTCTTTGGGTACTCGCAAAAGAGGCGCGAAGAATACTACCTTGTCAAGCTTCTTACTCGCTCCATCAAGGAAGACATCGAAACCTTCACCGCACTTCCTGAATGTTTGCGCTCTCACGCCTTCTGGAACAAGCTCTTTGGCTCATATGCCAAATCACCTCGCGACCGGAAGTTCATGCGTGATGTTCTGGGCACAGTGGTGAAAGAGTCCGTCATCGACAACCCAGATCTTGACCTTGAGAGTGATCCGATCCAAATTTATCGCTCTTCTATCAACAATGAGGAGCTTCGCACAGGTCAACGGAGCCGTCGGCGACCCGATCTCCCCCGAGAAGAAGCCATCAGAGATCCGGAGACTCGGGAGACATTCATCCAGCACTTGCAAGATCTGCGTGACATTGCTGATCAATTCTTTGCTGCGTTCGAAGATTTCTTGTACCGCATGCCATTTGGTACCAGATACCTTGCGCAACAAATGTATGAGAATCTTCTCGTGCGCTTCCCCAACGAGGATCCCGGGTTTATCCTACAAACGGTTGGCCATTGGGTGTGGAAAAATTATTTCCAACCCGCACTACTCGAGCCAGAGAAGTACGGTGTTGTGGATCGGGGTCTAACCCAGGAACAGAAGAGAAACCTCGGCGAGATCGCCAAGGTCGTGGCTCAGGTGGCTTCTGGCAGACTCTTTGGAGCCGAAAATGTGTACCTCCAGCCTCTCAACTCCTATATTGGCGAGTCAATACAAAGGCTCGGCCAAATTTGGGGGTCAAGTAAGTTGACATCGTCCATCCATTTCACTTTTACCTTCAACAATCTAACGTCAAACAGTGATCTCGGTGCAAGATGCCGAAGCGTACTTTGACATTGACGAGTTCAACGATCTCTACGCCAAGGCAAAGCCTACTCTTTACATCAAGATGTCTGACATCTTCTCTATTCACCAGCTTGTTGCTTCTCAGATCGAGTCCATTTGTCCGCACCCGGATGACTTCCTCAAACAGCTCGTACGGGACCTTGGAAACGTGAAGAGCAACGAGAACGAGTTGATGGGGGTCAGTTCCACGGAAATCAATTTGACACTGAACCCAAAGCTTGCCCAAACCGAAGGTGTGTACCCGTGTAGATAATCAGCCACCAAAACAACCCAGCTGACCATTATCTTTCTCCCAGATCCGGAAGCCGATATTAAGACCCTGTTCATGGAGACCAAGCGATGCATCCTCTATATCATTCGCGTCCAGAGTGGAGCAAACTTGATGGATATCATGCTCAAACCTCCGAGTGATGAAGATCAACAACGATGGCACACCCTGGTACGGGAGGAGTTGAGCACTAACAACTCTCGTCGGGGCGCCTACTCGGAGGCTAGCACGTTGATTGACATCGGGTCCATGGACTACACAGAGCTCAAGGGTATTGCTCTAGAGAATATTCTTCGCCTTGAGCAAGCCGGCAAGATTAGCCGGCATAATCATTACCAGGACCTCCTGAACGCCATCGCAAGCGACATCCGGACCAAGCATCGTCGCCGAATCCAGCGAGAACGTGAGCTGGAGGGTGCACGAATGACCTCAGCTCGCCTCAATGACCAAGCACTCTACCTGGATCAACAGCTCAAGACCTACAACGACTACATTGAACAAGCAATGATAACGCTGCAGAACAAGAAGGGCAAGAAGCGATTCCTCATGCCGTTTACCAAGCAGTGGGATCACCAGCGCGAGCTCCAGAAATCGGGCAAGGTGTTCAAGTTCGGTTCGTACAAGTATTCCGCTCGCACATTGGCCGACCGGGGCGTACTTGTCGGGTGGAAAGGGTATAGCGAGCGACAATATGATCGAGTGGATCTTACCATTTCCAGTAATGAAGTTGGAGTTTTCACCATTGACGGAAGCAGCGGCAACATGATGATCCCTGGAGCCAATGCTCAAGTACCACTTGACGACCTGCTGCAAGCCCAGTTCAACAACACACAGTTTATGGACTTCTTCGACGGGCAAATGCGAGTTAACGTCAACCTCTTCCTGCACTTGATCATGAAGAAGTTCTACAACGAGTAAAGCTTATGTTGATGGACATGATGAGGGATGATTGATTTGAATGGGGCATTCTTATTGATATTTTTTTTACGTTTTCATGTTTTCCTTCTTTGTTTAGATACCTAGGGTATTTTCTTTTTTGTTCTGGACCTTGATAGCGAATAGCGCCTCAGTTTATACGGGCACCCGAATGACATGTACACAATTGCATACATAATAAGTTACTCCGAGGATCTCAGTCAGTCAGTAAGCATTTCATCGATAGATCTGTAAGCAATCTTGGCTGGCCGGGCAGAATAGCTACTTCTATAGTCCAGTATCTGTACAAGGTTGCTGCCCAGCCGGGATCAGGGGCTGCCACGTGACTGCGTGGCGCATTGGAGTGGAATCGGCCAGCTGGAAACTGGCGACTCCCCCACCGACTACCTCCCCTTACACCTTATTGCCGGTGGGCTTGAAGAGTCTCTTTCTCTCATAATACCAATCGCCTGACTGATATATCTGGCCTTCCTTGGCGACATTCATTTTCTCCTCCCGCGCCCGATTCCGATTGACAACAGTCACCCCTCGCTATGGACTTCTCAAACATCCAAGACAAGGTCAGCAACCTGACATTGTATGACCTTAAGGCTGGTGTCCGCAAGGTACAGAATGGTAAGTGACACTCCCTTTGAGTTGTTTTCGCTTTACATGAAAGCGCCTGAGCACTGTCTCGCAATTCCGGGTTACCGGGCTGACCGCTTCGTCATAGCCGTCATGAACTATACCGAGATGGAGTCCAAGGTTCGTATACCAGACACACTCCCATTGCGCAACGACCCTCCGAGCTGCACGATTCGACAACAATGTAATTGCGCGATACGTCATGGGATTACCAAGCTTACTTGAGGACTAGGTCCGGGAAGCCACAAACAATGAGCCCTGGGGTGCTTCGACTACATTGATGCAGGAGATTGCCAATGGAACCCACAGCTAGTCAGTGGTACCCTCAATTACTGAAGCGAAGCCAAGTGAATTATATGCTTATCATCCGATGCAGTCAATTGCTGAACGAGATTATGCCCTTGATTTACAAGAGATTCACCGATAAGAGCGCGGAGGAATGGAGGCAGATCTACAAGGTGCGCAGCGGCGCGACTCGGTTTCACGATTTGCTATATACTGACGTCCATTCTTTTTCCGAAATCCAGAGTCTTCAGCTTCTCGAATTCCTCGTTAAGAATGGTTCAGAGCGGGTGGTTGACGACGCACGATCTCACATGTCGCTGCTGCGGATGTTGCGGCAATTCCATTTTATTGACGCGAACGGAAAGGACCAGGGTATCAACGTGCGCAATCGGTCCTCAGAATTGGTCAAATTGCTGGGCGATGTGGACCAGATTCGCTCCGAGCGCAAGAAGGCCCGCACCAACCGCAACAAGTTTGGCGGTTTCGAAGGTGGCATGAACGTTGGTGGCATGTCCTCTGGCTCTAGTCGCTATGGTGGCTTTGGTAGTGACAGCATGGGATACGGTGGATACAGCGGCGGTGTTTATGGTGATGGTGGAGGCTTTGGCGGAGCCTCGAGTGATTTCCAGGATAGCAGTCGCGATACCAGCCGTCGCGGTAACCGGTTCGAGGAATATGACGAGTACGACGAGGGAGAGACTAGCGCTCCACGGCGTGAGTCTGCTGCGGCCGCGCCCAAAGCTAAGGCAGAGCCCAAGAAGCCAGCGCCTGCACCCGTGGTAGATCTCTTTGATTTCGGTGATGACGAGCCTGTCACTACTACAACGGCGCCTTCTACTGCTGCAGGCAAGCAGCCCGCTAGCAGCGCATTGAACATGCTGGACACGGCAGATGATGACGACTTTGACGACTTCCAGTCTGCTACTCCGGCGGTCCAGCCTTCAGCACCAGCGACGGCCAACTACTCCATTCAACCTCCTGCCTCCACTCACAGCACGACCTCGAGCACCCATTTTGCCGCGCCGGTCCCCGTCTCGGCTTCGCAGGGCGCCAACATCAATGGCATTGTTGGCTTCACATCGGCCACCCCAACCCCGTCAACTAGCTCGCTTACCTCCCCGGTCTCCCAGACTGCACCTCTCCAGCAGCAATCCATGGCTTCCAAGCCGTCCGGCTTCCAGGCCGCTACACCAAACTACTTCACCTCCGTTTCAACCGGTGCCGCACAGCCATTCTCCTCCCACGCCGCCAAGCCCTCTATCTCTTCCCAGAACTCCTCTACTACCGCGAGCAAGCCCGCCGCAAAGCCTGCAAGCAAGTCCTCCGGCGATGCCTTTGGCTCCCTCTGGACCACCGCCAGCGCCAGCGCTGGTATCTCCAAGTCCAATGCCAATGCTAACAAGGGTCCCAACTTGGCCAGCATGGCTAAGGAGAAGGCCAGTGCCGGCATCTGGGGTGCCCCGGCTGCCTCATCCTCGTCGGCTCAGTCCCAGCCGCAACAGAAGCAAGGTGGCTCCGCATTCGATGATTTGCTGGGTTAATTTGGTCTTTTCTCAACAATGAGAACATAGTCCACATCGAATTCGTTGCCATTTTCGCTCACGTTCGAGGACAAGCTGCATCGCAGATTTTTTTTTCGCATCCAGTTCCCATAATGTCAAACTTTGATTTGATCCTTCAACTTTTGTTAAGGCTACACACCCCCAATCTTTCCCCTTCTTATTATTTCTTCTCGTCGTTTGCTTGTTGGGATTCTCACGCTTGAGCAAAGCAATTCTGAAAATTTCCTTTTTTCGCCTCTCCTTTTCCTTTCAATTTGATGAGATCGATACACGTAAAATGCCCTTGTACCTTCTTTGTCTATATATACACCTCTCTGAAGATCTCACGGATACTAAAAATGTGCTATACTCATTGCCCATGACTTGATTGCATTGTCAAGTCGGTAAGATGGTACTTGGACATTCAGATTGCTATGGCGTGCAGAATGAACACTCTGTATACAATGACCGAATACACCCCAAGCAAGCTCTATCCAGGACAATACTATATTTCAATCTAGTCGAATCTTCGCTCAGTACTGTTTCCCCTTGTGCGGCACCAGTTGAGGGAATGAACATCAACGTAAGCGATGGACGGTTACAATTTCACAATTTCACGACCAGCCTGACTAATATGAACGATAGTTATAGGCTAGCGTCCGTTGGGATATTATCGGTTGTGTGTCTTTTTGCCTTTTTGCTTCTAAATTTCTTTTAGTGTTGAGATGAATGATAACCTCATGAGAGGGGGTTTGGGGCGAAATAGCTTTAAGTATTCTTTTTAATTTTTTTTTTTTTTTAAAAAAGAAGACTTATACAGCTGCCCTTGAGTAAACAAAGGATCAAATAAAAGGTAAATAGGCATTACGCCGATGCTAATTGATGCTAGGACAACGCCTGCGCTGAAGGAAGCTAGATACAAGTGCGAGAAGGGGGAGACAAGGGGTGAACAGAGGGCGGGATAAAGAGGCAATCATAGGTAATGTATAGGTAGTGTATAAATAAGGTTGACAGAACATAGAACAAGGGGGGAATATGAAGGACAGTTGCGCGATCGTATAGAATAAATGGATAGATAAATATCTGCGTTCCATTTTGATTCTCCTTGTCTCTCTTGGTGGCCCTTGATTTCTTAGGGTTTATCGGGAGAGATGCTGGCGGGGTTTGCGGGAGGGAGCTAGGATATCAAGGATAGATGAAGTGCAGAGAAGAGGGATGGTTTATGGAGTGTGAAGGGTGATCGAGGCTGACGCTGTAGCGGAAGAGGAGTGTTAAATCTTCTGAACCAGAAATCTTCCGAACCAGCTTTAATGTGTGGGGTTTGACATGTTGATTGGCCAGCAGGCGCGAGGCTTGTGTTCTTGAATCTCTTCTGAATGCGCTTGGCCGGCAATGCTAACCTAAATGCATCTCAAGGGGTCCATGAAAGCAAATGGCGCATGGCGGTGGTAACTGCGTGATCTGAGGAGCCCGATTTTGAAACCCTCTCTGATAGAAGGGTGAGAAGAAGCTCGCTCATTGGCTTTGACAGTCCAAGGAATGATTCGGTACTAGGACAGCTCCCGTAACGGGGGAGCTTGCAGCTACCGATTCGTGGCCTTTGTTGAGTGAAGCCGATTATGTATAAGGTTGTACAGCGGCCGTCAAGTCTTTGTCATCAAGCTAGATCGATTGCCAGGGCCACCAACTGTCTTTCCCGACTCTGATGTAGATTTGGATTGCTCTTCATCTTCAACAGGGAAAGACGGGGTGTCGCCATTTGTGCCTCTGTGGTTGTCCTGGGTAGGGGTCGAGATACGATCATCCTCGGCCATATCCATGTTGGTTGATAAACCGTGTTCGGTGGCATCCGGATTGGGCTCCCCGTTCAACGAGGTCAATCCACCTTCAATGTCTCGGAGAAGCCGAACAAACTGCTCCGGCACGAGACCATTCTCCCCCGTTTTCGGGTCCTCGGCGACCAACCAGCCTTCACCATGGCGGTATGAGACATAGATCACTTGGCCCTCGGTGAGGGGGAGCTCGTTTTCGTGCTCGCGCACAAAGTCAAAGAGTGCGACGGCCTTTCCGTGCATCTCTTCGTCCGGACAGCCAACGGCAAATTGATAATCATTCGAATATCGATTTCCACGTGTATAGTCATGTTCTGACTCGAATCCAGGTTCCTGCGCATAGCCTGGCTGGCCACCATATGCTACCGAGTACCGTCCTTCATTTGCTGGGTATGTCACATATTCTCCACCAGGGCCGTCTCCCATTCCATCCCCGTCATTCACATAGTAGGTCTCGCTTCCATCGGGGTTCAGACCGACGAATGTGCCGCGGTCTGCATTTCCAGCGACCAACATGCCGTGCTCATCTACCATGCCGTTCAGATCGTTTAAGGTGGACCTCTTGCGCTGGCGCGACGAGGTCACCACCGGACTGTGCAGGTCTTCATCTTCACTATATGGAGGTCCATCACCGAACGACATGGCGGGCAGTTGTTGGTGACCCTGGTTGCTATCCGTGTTCCAACCGCCCGTCGTCCACGGGCCCTTCGCGGTGTCCCAAGAGGTCGACGGATCAGACAAGCGACGGTACTCGCTAGCGGGGGTTGACACACCCGAGGCGTGTGGTGGAGGGGGACCATAGTGCAACGGATGGATTGGCGGGTAGGCGAAGTCTCGCACCAAGGCGTAAGGGAGGCTAGAATGGAAGATGGGGAACACGTGGGAGCCAGGTCGTGACCGGTTTTGGGAAACGAAAGAAATATTCGAGTACGTGGAGAGGCGATCCCTTGCGCTTGGAGATGGTTTGACAGTGTTGTCGGTCAAAATAGGAGGGAGAACCTGCAGGGTGCTCGCTGAGAGGGTGTTTGGCGATGCCGGGGATGTCATCTTGAGGCAGATCGGAGAAAGCGCAGACAAGGGGGGGAGGGGCTTTTTGACGGGCAAAAGAGAGACGAGATTAAGTGGCGCTTCATATATCGGCAAGAGAATTGGGGGGTGGTATTCATCAATCGCGATCCTCGAGATCTAATATTGCATGGTGATGGGTACGCGCGCCAACAAGATTGCACTTGCGATTGAAAGTCGCGAGTCCGTCAAACCGATCGGATGAGAGGGCGGGTCGGGGAGTCTCGTGCACACAAATAGGGGCAGCGATGCCAAACCACCTTCTTTGTTTCCCCAATCGCAATCCCAAAAGAGCCCGGACTCGTCTGTATCACCCAGGACCAAACCGTGGTGGACGAGGAAAACCTCCGAGGTGGAGAGGTCGGGAATCGGCAAAGGCGAGGAGGGGAAGGACAGTGCGGCTTTGGGAAGAGGGCCGGCCTGCGAACGCCGAGTCGTGCACGGGGTCCAGGGGGAGGGGGAAGGAAAGTCACGAAGGGACCCCACGAAGAGGGTCAATCGAGAAGATTAGTTGACAAAGTGACGGGAGAGTTCGTCAAGCGCGGAAGCGTGTCAAGTTGCCGGGCGCTTTGGGAAGGGGGAGGAGCAAGTGGTGGTGTTCCAGACGCTGTCCCGCAGTGGACGACGGGCCAAGCTAAATATAGCAGAAACTGCACGGCTAAGTGTCAGATATAAATGCAACCGGGGCCCAGCGCTTATGCGATAGAGTAGTTGAAGTAGGTAGTGCTAGACGGGGGTGATCGCAATCGCTGGATAAATATGGGATATGGACCAGGGGCTTCCATCTTGCTGCGGTTCTTGGAAGGGAAAATGGAGCATCGAAGGGGCATCGGGGGGGGGGGCGGGCCATACCTCAAAGTTGTACTCTCTTGAGGCTTGAATAATCCGCACAGGCCGAACGAGGTGATCTCCAACGGCGGCAACGATAATAACAAGAAGAGCAGTAATTCGGCCACAACCGGAACCACCAAGCCAGCAGACGATTTCTGAAGCAGAACAAAGCTAAGGAGACCAGAGACTCTCACTCTCGCATTCGCTGGACGAGAGAGAGGGAATTGAAGCTTCGAAGGGGCTTAGGTCAGCGTCACGTGTTAGCGTGTTTCAGATCGCAGGCTTGGCCGTTTTGGGCGTTGGTGGTTGGACGACTTTAAATTATGAGGGGAGACCGGTTTATGGATTGAGAGGACTATCTTAAGGCATGATGGTTGCATCGTTCTAGAATGAGTAAAAACATATGGTGAACGGAGTGGGTGCATGATGGCATGCTTGGGACCAAGTACGGAGTATATAGTTGGGGTGAAACTACGACACGACAGAAAAGTTCATGGCACGACGAGGCTAGTCCTCATGAGAACCCCCCCCCCTTTCAATACAAAATACTACATTCGAAATTCACAAGATACCTACCGAGTCATTATGTATAATTCAAATTGATACTTCTCGTTAATATATTTAGAGACTGTATACGCGATATCTATCTATTTATCCTTCTAATAGACTAAGTTATTATTCTACTCTTACTGCCACCCTTTTTTACGGTCCTTTTTAGGATCTTTTCTATGATCTTTTCTATGGTCTTTTCTAAGATAGAGGCTCATACATACATAAGGACTCTACTGGTATTTGTAAATCTCGAATGTAGCATTCTGTATTGAAGAGGTAGCGCTCCTCATTAGGACTAGCCTTATCGTGCCATGAACTATTCTGTCGTGTCGTTAATGCCATCCTATAGTTGTAGTCAAGATTGTCTCATAAGGACACTGAAATTGCCATCGGGGTATCAACGTAAAGCTCTAAGTATACATCAAGACTGCGTTCGATTGCTCATTTCTTTCTCTTTTTTATTTCAATCCATTTCATGCCACTTTATGCCACCCAATCCCTTCTCATAAACCGTTGGCTGTATCCTGTACTCGGACTCCTCGTGGGAGTTGCTTCGCATCCTCCCACGGTAACGGTCTTCTCCGTGGTTTTCCAAGCAGTCACAGTAATAACCCGAACCACCTCCGTCGAAGTGAGATACAAAGTAGATGTCGATTGCGGTACATATGGAATCGACGAAGACGGATGGGAAGATGCATGAGCCGTCGTCGTTTCAGGCGCCTCCGGAACGTCGTCAAGTTTATCAAACTCTGATGGGATAGCAGCTTTGTTGAGGTCCTGACCAGTGGCATACTCATCTTGAATATTTCCCTTTTGCTGAGATGTAGAGGCCACCACGTTCACATCCATGCAGGTCGTGTAAATCTCCGTTTTGCCGTGTGGGTACGTGGGATCGACGCCTGGGAGGGTGGGCCAGTCCCACACCCAGTAAAGGGTGTACAGCTTGCCTGTCGGGGCCGTAGCGGGCAGTTTGATATCTTGCTGGCACCACATATCCGCACCCATGAGTGAATTAGCCTGATGGGGGTATTCCTGTTGACGCGCTTGCGAGATGTTGCCGCTGTTGACCTGGTAGCAGCGGCCGTCGTCGAAGTTTTGTTTGGATAATAGCACGCCTCGCCCATCACCCCCGGTGCCGTCTCTGGTCCAGGCTCCATGGACGTCAAGGATTTTCTCTCCTACTTTGGGCGTTGTCGTCCCGTAGACGTAGACCGTTCCCCGGTTTGCGGGCTTCCCGGGTTGATTCCATGGCAGAGTGACGTGGCCGTTCTCTTGATAGCGAAGTGCAACTGCGTCGCCCGCACTGGCCTGCAGTCTCGCGCTTCCGGCAGTCTGGGTTTGCTCTTGTTGAGTGTCCTTGCAGAGTTTATCTGAGGGTAGGATGAGAGTCACATTCGCACGACTAGATGGAGGGATCAAGTAGGTCATTGTGGTATCGCTGAAGTCGGAGGCAGTACGAAGGACATTTCCTCTCGCGTATCCGGCGTTCCCCACGAATGTCCCGTTTGGGGCGATGACGGACAGTTGTTCCACCCAGGTATGGGCCTGGATATTCTTTGCGGATGACAGGAGGAAGAAGAACACCCGAAGTGGTCTTGGTCGCATGTTGGCACAAGTTCCCAATCGTTTGGCAAAGAAGGTGTAGTCTTAGAGAATGAATGTCACGGTGTTGAGTGTCAAAGGAAGCTGGCAGATATATTGCGATTGTGTGCTGGGACGTTGTCTTCGATGGGAGAATCGGACTGATACTTCGCGTGTCGGGGAGGGAGGATTGAATGCGTTTATAGTGCAAGGGGGGGTGAAATGGAAGAAGAATAGAGGATGATGAAAGGGAAACTCTAGGCATTCATATCAACCCATGATGGACTTGGGCAACAAGGGAAGAAAAAGGAAGGAGAGAGATCAAAGGACCCGTTTCAAGGTCTTCTCGTCTCAAGGCACCAGGCCAGGCGGGGTCAAACACACTGAAGGCGACAATGGCAGCCTGAGTTGACCAGCCAGCGGGCGAGGGCCAGATATAACAGGGACGGTCATTGTGACAAATATAGGAGGACCGGTCTTGGTGAGAGCCACTGTCGCGCCTCATTGGGGGAGACAAACAAAGCAAGCTCAATCCTGAAGCAGAGCCCCGATGTCACAGTTGAAATGATCGATCTTTGGACACGGGCTGTCATGCGAGCCTAATTCCTCTCGGCTGCCAAAGAATGAGCGGCCAGCAGGTGACTGATTGGATGGGACGGTTGCAAAAGTAAACGGAGTCTAAAGATGGGGGAGGCAGCGGGAGATATTCTTCAAACCCTGAGACAATCTCGGAACCTCCTGGCGCTAAGAGAACGTTTGGCTATACTGGAATCCGTAGTTGGAATCGCAGCATGGGGAGATCGCGCCGAGGATGATCTGCCAATGTTGCAAGTCTGCAGGGAATTGAGCGCAGCGGCTACGTTCATTGGGCGAGTGAGGAGGCTCTCTTAGCGCCTCATCCTCTCAGGGTGGCGGGCTCCTGCTCATTCGGCAAAGGCGGATGACCTGCATTGGAGGTAAAATCGAGGCCTGAAGATCCTAGGAATAGGCTTCGTCTACGGAGTACCCGTGAAAGTCTGGGCGGTGCTCCGATCCCAGATACACAGTTCTGCAGCCCTCTTTTAAACTGCTGCAGGATCTCTACTGCACTTCATACGTTCATACGGTTTTGGTTCGACGTATATTAGCAGGTGCGGGGCCTAGCAGGGATGACGGCATGACGAGTATAGGGTCATTTTGGCGTAGGCTTCTAGGGAGAACGCTAGATGCTTAGCTCATTTATATGCTATACCTGCCGATGAGGTCTACAGTAGTATTGCATGAGCGCTGAGATCTCACCTGCCCACGCGCCAAAACCCGGGATTCACAGTCGACCGCTATCTGAACCGAGCACAATGGATGCCCAGCGGAACGTCACCATCCACACACTGCTTGGCCCTTGCTCTGTAGCCCTACTCACGATGGATCATGCCGGGTTACTTCCAAGCCCAGTGGATACAAGCGGAGCAACGCGCAACGTGCTCATTGACAGACAGACAGACCGTGCTCGTCGGATGTCTCCGTGGTCGGATATCCATCTTATCTCGGATCTTTCCATCCCCCTAGAAGCTTGGCAAGCTCGGTCACCGAGTCACACTGTGGATAGAAGTTGCGGGCCCGCGGGCGATGAGACGAAGAATGATTTGACTTGAGTTATCTGATTTGTATCTGATTTTTATCTGATTTCTCCGTCAGCTCCACCGAGTGGGTTTCCCTTCGGGCTTGTCCAACGAGAGGAACGAATGTCGCCTGCCACGTCCGCCGGTGGTCGGAACGGGTCTTCGGAGATTTGGACGAGAGTTTTTATCTTTCGGAGGGGGCACAAGTTGGGAATGGGGGTCTCGCTGACGTGGACCGATCGTGAAGCGATTCCCGTGATCGCTTTGATTACAGGGAAACCCTGGAAAGGCCACAGGGCCAAAGTGGAGTCCTGTGCTGATCGACCGTCGAAACCCGAGTCACACCCACAGAAATCTTGGGAATTTCGGCAGTATTGCGAGAACACGAGAGAGGATGGCACGGGATCGCAGAGCTGCTGGTAAGATTGACGGGTAGACGATACCTTTCATCCCCAAAATCCGCAGCGGTAATAGTGTCAGGCGGGCTTCGGGGTTTAACAGATTGGGAGGGAGAAAGTGGCGGAGTACAGTAGTTGCTTGCACCGTCTTCCGTAGGCAGCCACAGTATGTACTGTCCTCCGTACAATATTGGAGAACTATACGGAGTAGCCACCTCGCTAGTGGATATGAGGATATTAGGTGGTTGGCCAGGGCCCAGGGGGCTGGCTCTCTGACCAGTTTGGGCTCAACCGATCCGCCCAAGCTCAGAATCGTCGGTGTTTGTGCAGCAGTAGCAGCAGCTAGGGCCCAGCATTGGAGAAGATCGCTGCCAGTTGCACGTTAACCTGATTTCAGCCCTGGTTACGTTGCCACCGCTTTCTCTATACCAACTTCTGTAGAATCATTCAAGAATCCTAATCCTGGGTGGTAGATAATTCAATGTAGTTGCTTGATGAGCTCATAACCTAGTAATAACGATAGAGCGCCCCGTACCTCGTCGAGTTGTCTGCTGCTTTTTCCCCCGGGTTTAGGTTTGATTGCCTCGATCGGGAAGCATTGGCTTGGATTGTTCGAAGTTGATTGTTCTTGATTTCTTTGCTCGACTTTCGACTAAAATGCCAGCGAAGTCTCTCTGCCCCCTCTGTTCTCAAAAAAATCCCCCTTGCGCCTTGCGGTCGTACTGCACTCTGTTATAGTACTCGCTCTTCTTATCTCCCCGTTCCACACTCCGTTCGGGTTTTCGTCGCCCCCCTAGGTTTTTTTTTTTTTTTTTTTTTTTTTTTTTTTTTTTTTTTTTTTTTTCTTTTTTTTTTTTTTTTTTTTCTTTTTATTTTCCACTATTCCTGGCGTTCCTTGGCAAGACCCGTTGTCGGCGATACTTAATTCCATCGGCGCGGGCCCGGAGCTCGAGTATTTTGCAGCCTTCAGGGGGTCCCCGTACTCTTCTTACCCACCGCGACAATCCAATTGCCTGGACGGATTGTGCTCGTCCTCTTGCTCTCTCGTTTCTGTGGTACTTGCTGTTTGCCCTCCTACGACCCTGTGTGGTTTTGCTGACTTTGAAGATTTACAAAAAAAGTTCCCGTCGGAACTATCTCTGTTTGAAAACACCGCCTCGTGAGCCACATGCGGCCCTCGATCTAGGACTTCAACACTTTGTAGGATCCTTCTATCTCTCCGTCGCCTCGATTTTGTCGGAACGAAGAGCTTTACGGCGGTAATCCTCGCAGGCTTTGCCCCTGCGGACCGTCTCAACCACCCTCTCAACGCCTTCAACAGGACGTCTTTCACCGCTCCCCCGACTCTCCCCTGTTACAATGGCAACCTCGTTTATCTCCAAGAGATTGCGGCCCACGGAAGCCGACCAGGATGCGGAACCTAGTTGGATTCGCCGCCAGGTCACTTCTGGCCTTCAATGCATCTCTCGCCGTGCCTGTGTGCACCCCATTCACACCATTGTGGTGATTGCCCTTCTCGCCAGCACAACCTACGTCGGCTTGCTCGAAGGGAGCCTGCTGGACACTGCGCGTAACCCTCGCAATGTGGCAGGACAAGTGGATGTCGATACTCTGCTCCAGGGCAGTCGTAACCTACGCCTGGGCGAATCAACTGCGTGGAAGTGGCAGGCCGAGGATTCCTGGGTTGACTCGACCGTAAGCACACATCGGCTTACCCCCCTCCTACTAATTTGCATTCTGACCAATCTTGCCCAAACCAGCAGATCGACCAGCCTGCAGCTCACCACATCGCTCTGACCACCTTCATTTTCCCTGATTCCAACTCCAAGTCGGCGTCGACGGCTCCGGCCGCCGACGATGTCCCGATCCCTGCCAATGTCTCCGCCCACCCTGTCCCGCATACTCCGAACTTGTTCTCGCCCTTCTCTCACGACTCTTCTTTGGCCTACACCGTGCCTTTTGAGCAGGTCCCTGACTTCTTGCGGGCCGTACAGGAGATTCCGAACCCGTCCGCCGAGGAGGAGGAAGAGGAGTCCAAGAAATGGATCATGAAGGCCGCTCGCGGTGCCACTGGCTCCCGAACTGCCCTCAAGCTCTGGATCACCGATGCGTGGAGCTCCTTTGTGGATCTCATTAAGCATGCCGAGACCATTGACATTGTGATCATGGCTCTTGGTTACCTTTCTATGCACTTGAGCTTCGTGTCTCTGTTCTTCTCCATGCGCCGTCTGGGATCTAACTTCTGGTTGGCTGCTACTGTTCTCTTCTCTGGTTCCTTTGCTTTCTTGTTCGGTCTCTTGGTCACTACAAAGCTTGGAGTGCAGATCAACCTTCTCCTTCTTTCCGAGGGTCTCCCATTCCTGGTTGTGACCATCGGCTTCGAGAAGCCCATCATGTTCACTCGGGCTGTTCTGAATGCCTCCGTGGACAACCGCCGTCCCCGTCCCGGTGCTGCTCCCCGCCCCCTGACCTCGAGCACCCCCGGTTCTATTCAGGACTCAATTGCCACGGCTATCAAGGCTCAAGGCTTTGAGATCGTCCAGCACTACTGTATTGAGATCGGTCTGCTGGCCATGGGGGCTGCCTCTGGTGTCCAGGGTGGTCTCCAACAATTCTGTTTCCTCGCCGCCTGGATCTTGTTCTTTGACTTTGTTCTCCTGTTCACTTTCTACACTACTATCCTGTGCATCAAGCTGGAGATCACTCGCATCAAGCGCCACGTTGCTCTACGCAAGGCCCTCGAGGAAGACGGAATTACCCAAAGCGTTGCCGAGAATGTCGCCTCGAGCAACGACTGGCCCAGCGCCGGCTCGGATGGCAGCGAGGGTGACACCAGCATCTTTGGTCGTAAGATCAAGTCCAGCAATGTGCGCCGCTTTAAGATCCTGATGGTCGGTGGTCTGATTCTGATCAATGTCGTCAACTTGTCCGCCATTCCCTTCCGGAACACCGGAAATGGCGCCCTGATCTCCCGCTTATCCAACGTGATGGCTCCTGCTCCCATTGATCCCTTTAAGGTCGCTGAGAACGGTCTGGATGCTGTCTACGTGGCCGCCAAGAGCCAGAAGCAGGAGACCATGGTCACCATCATCCCGCCCGTCAAGTACAAGCTGGAATACCCATCTGTCCACTACGCGGACAACGAGGACACTGGTTCGTTCGATATCGAGTATTCCGATCAGTTCCTGGATGCCGTTGGTGGTAAGGTGCTCGAGAGCCTTCTCAAGAGCGTGGAGGATCCCATCATCAGCAAGTGGATTATCGCTGCCTTGACTCTCAGCATCATTCTCAACGGTTACCTCTTCAACGCCGCTCGCTGGAGCATCAAGGAGCCTGAGCCCGTCATCGCTGCTCCCAAGGAGCCCGTGGCGCCCAAGGTCTACCCTAAGTTTGAGCCCAACGAGGAGGAATCAACTCGGTCCATGGAGGAATGCGAGCTTATGCTTAAGCAGAAGCGTGCTCCCTTCTTGACGGATGAGGAGCTGATCGCTCTGTCCCTCAAGGGCAAGCTTCCTGGTTATGCTTTGGAAAAGACTATGGAGAACGAGGAGTTGATGAGCCGTGTAGACGCCTTCACTCGTGCTGTCAAGATTCGCCGTTCTGTGGTCGCCCGTACCCCCGCCACTTCTGAGAATACCAGATATCTGGAGACCTCCAAACTCCCCTACGAGCACTACAACTACGGTCTGGTCCACGGTGCTTGCTGTGAGAATGTCATTGGTTACTTACCTCTCCCTCTTGGTGTTGCCGGTCCCATCAACATTGATGGCCAAAACTACTTCATCCCCATGGCTACTACTGAAGGTGTTCTGGTTGCCAGCACCAGCCGTGGCTCCAAGGCTATCAACTCTGGTGGCGGTGCGGTCACCGTTCTGACTGGCGATGGCATGACTCGTGGTCCTTGTGTTAGCTTCCCTACCCTGGCTCGGGCTGCCGCTGCCAAGGTCTGGATTGACTCCGAAGAGGGTAAAAGCATCATCACCGCTGCCTTCAACTCTACTAGTCGCTTTGCCCGTCTCCAGAGTCTGAAGACCGCTCTTGCTGGTACCTACCTCTACATCCGCTTCAAGACCACCACGGGTGACGCCATGGGTATGAACATGATTTCCAAGGGGTGTGAGAAAGCCCTTGATGTGATGTACAAGGAGTGTGGTTTTGATGACATGTCCATCATCTCGCTCTCCGGTAACTTCTGTACCGACAAGAAGTCCGCTGCTATCAACTGGACTGATGGTCGCGGTAAGTCCGTTGTCGCCGAGGCTATCATTCCCGGCGACGTTGTCAAGAGCGTGCTGAAGAGTGATGTCGAGGCCATGGTGGAGCTGAACATCAGCAAGAACCTGATCGGTTCCGCCATGGCAGGTAGCTTGGGTGGTTTCAACGCTCACGCTTCCAACATCGTTTCTGCCATCTTCCTTGCCACTGGTCAGGATCCTGCCCAGAACGTCGAGAGCAGCAGCTGTATCACGACTATGAAGAAGTAAGTTTTCCGCTGTTGATCCTCCCCCTCTCAAATCTTTCGACCGGCGATTCTAACGATCACATCAGCCGCAATGGTGACCTTCAGATCGCCGTCTCCATGCCCTCCATTGAGGTCGGTACCATCGGCGGCGGTACCATCCTTGAGGCGCAATCAGCCATGCTCGAGATGCTCGGTGTCCGGGGTCCTCACCCCACCAACCCTGGTGAGAACGCTCGCCAGCTGTCCCGCATCATTGCAGCCTCCGTCCTGGCCGGTGAGCTCAGCCTGTGCGCTGCGCTCGCTGCTGGCCACCTTGTCAAGGCCCACATGGCCCACAACCGTAGCGCGGCCCCTACCCGGTCCTCGACCCCCGTGTCCGCTGCCGTGGGCGCTGCTCGTGGCCTGTCCATGACCTCTAAATAAAGAGAATGCGACCACCTTTACCTGGCTTGCGGTAACGAGTCTGTATATCGTTGCGCGGCCCATGACACCCTCATGATACCATCCTGATGCAGACTATCGGGCAAACATACCGACTTGCCCTTCTTTGTTCTTTACTCTCTCACATCTCTAAAGCTGCATCTCTTTTCCTCATTCCCTCATGACCGGTCTCTCTAGACCTATTATTCGAGGGATATAAGAGGATCTCTACCTGTGATGGTCATCTGCTAGCGGATCAACCGATCCTCGACTCCTTTTCCTGGGGCCTCCCTTTTGATGGAGACACCCTAAAACCGCGCCCCGCGCGGATATGAGCTACGCTCCCGTTCTACATTTTGTACTTAGTGTTTTCGGATAGATATGTCGGCCGATCATGGCCTATGAAACGTGTATTTTGGGTTTCTACATCAATATTCCTTCTAATGTATCTTCTTGACGGTGCTAGAATGAGCATGGGAGTCGTAGACTATACATCCAGATGGGGGCGTCTTGAGCGCGTAGAACATCTTGTAATTAGATAGTCATCAAATTATCAACTCTGACAGACAACCGACAATTCCTATCCGCCATTCTTCATGGATGTTGACTTTGAGTGTCTCCGTGTCTTAGATTTGATCGACTCATCGCCTTTCACAATCCGCCAAGTGACTGATGGGGAATAGTGTGAATGAAACGAGTAACGACTGATTTCTGGTGCGATACACCGGGAGTACAGTACCGTACACCTCCCGGACGGCGTTAGTCTTGGTTCGTTCTGGGGAGGGCCGAAAGGTCTAGACTGTCGAACTCCTGAACGGACGGCCCTTGGGGGTTCCCCGTAGCCCTCATAGCCTTGATCAATTAGATACCGGTTTCCGGGGGAATGGTAGTGATAGAAGTCATAAGCATGGGAAATATGGACGAAGGAGAGTCTCGTACGCTCGGAGTAAATTGGCTGGCAGGGATTCCGCAGGCTGAAGGACGGTGCAGGAACTCTGTTGATTGTGATTTGATTTCAGCCCCCCTGTGTGGCTTAGTCTCTTGAAGCTCGTCTTGGCAGAGGGTTCGGTACGGAAAGTTGTTCTGTACGGTAACCTCTCTTTGTCTTCCATTAGGTTCCTTGTTCGCAGATTTTGTGACAGATCAATAGTCAATCGCCAAACAATGCGAAACGGCACGAGTTGAGCGGGAAGAGCGTCTATCGATCCATCGAAGCGAGAGAGGGCCCTGAAGACTGGAAAAAATTGATATCATGCTAGTGATGTGATATCAGGAAGGATTCGAGTCGTCCCCCATGGTTCCTGGCACGCAAGATGACGGGCTAGTCCTGTAATTTACTGGACTAATCAGAGTGATCGTTCTCCGTATTCGGTATCGACCAGTTGCATGATGCGCCGACTGGGGGCAGTACTCCGTCCTCCGTACGGAATCAGGAACAGGATGTACCGGCGGATCCCTGGTAAGTTGTACAGCCCGTAAGGGGAGCTAATTTGATTAGTTGGTGAAAAAGGAACCTCCGGAGTCAACGGACAAGAACCTAAGCACACTTTTGCACCCTTCCTCCTTACTATATTTCTCTGCTCAATTCTTTTTTTCTTGTCCCCCTTTCGTCCAGTCCTTCACTCCTTCGGACCAGGGCACACAACATCTCGACGGGATCGAGTCTCTATTCTTTCTTTCCTCGGTCGGGTTCTCGCCCTCCCCACCCCCCTTCTCGGCGGCTCATCAGGGTTCAGATCGCGGCGTGGAGGAGTGACTTTACTGTGGACCAAGACGTGTGCAGTGACGACGATAGCGGCCTCCAACAACTTTGTGTGACCAGCCTCCTCTCAATACTCTAGAAGGAAAAGAAGAGCCCGTCTTTCTCCTTCGCGATCAATATAATCATCACCTCGGCCGGAGGAGCCAACTTGCATCCCCTGCCGCCTTGATATGAATGGCCACTCGGGAGCCATGTCGCCCGTCTCCGTGGATGGCAGCGACTGGTCCGGCCTCAACCAGTATCAAAAGTCGGACCCGCCCTTCTCACCGACCGTCTCCTCGCGAGGCAATCTAGCCACTCCTCCGACCTCCGGGGTCCCCAGCGCTCCCTTGAGTCCCAACAGCATTGGACCACCCGGTAGTGGCAATCCCTCTCCACCCAGCTCGGTCGCAGCACGATCCAGCGTCGGTACTCTCGGCGGCGATGGCCAGCGCGATGGTGGCCGACGAGGCCGACAGATGGAGGAAATCCTGCATCAACACTACGTGACCCTAAGACGATTTCTCGATGCCTCGATGCGCGAGGACCGGTTGAACGGCCGATCAAATAAAGCCCGTGACAAGCTCCTCCGACTCTCGCCCACTCAGTTCCACGAACTGAGTACCGACGTCTACGATGAACTGGTTCGTCGCCAGCAGGCCATGCCTCCGCCCGGTCGACCCCCTCGTCCCGACGTGCCTCCTTTCCTCCCTCCCCGCAAAGACTTCCACGAGAAGCGCAACCATGCCCGTCAAAAGCTCTCCTCGCTTCCTCACCAGCGTTTCCGGGACCTAGCGACCGATGTGTTTTGCGAGTTGGAGCGTCGGTTCCCACATTTCACTGGCCGCGGGCGGCCACCGCCGCCTGGCGCCAGACGGTCCCAGTCGCGAGGTCCTCCTCAGATGGGCCGGGGTTATCCGTCCGGTGGTCCGCCTGGGAGCCCGTTCCCGCCGCGGCAGGGTTCGCTCGGAGGTCCACCGCAAGGGATGAATGGAGATGGACCGTTCCCGCGGGCTTTCCAGAGTAACACCATGGTCCCGAATAAGAGTACGATGGTGGAGGATAGTGATGATATGGGAGGGGACGATGACGACGATGCCCGGAGTGATGCGTTTGCTTTGGACGCTGTCCTGAGCAGACGGGGTACGACGACAACTCTCGGGGACAGTGAGCGGAGACTACTCATGGAGAGCCAGACGCAAATTTCGGCACTGCAAGAAAAGGTCGAAAAATTGGAGGAACAGCTTCGCATGAAAGATGAGGAGATTGCTCGGTCGTCCGATGCAGACCAGTCTGGCATAAGCCACAGCGAGCGTCAAGAGTGGGACGACTTGCGACAGGATCTGGAGAGCAAGGTTGCCAAAGCGGAGGATTTCAACAGCTCGCTTCAGCTCGAGCTTGAGAAGGTTCGGGCGGACCACGACAACATGGAACGAGAGCTTCGCAATCAGCTTGAAGAGGTCAGCCAAAGTGCGGGAGATCCTGCTTTGGAGGCTCGCTTCTCTGAGTTGGAAGTCAAGCACCAAAGCCTGCAAACGGAGCTGCAACAGCAGCAGCAGGTCACAGCAGAGGTTCGACGTGAGGCTTCGGAGTTCCTTATGGAGATGAAGACCCTCACGGCTCAGAGTCATTCGAACTGGGAGCGCGAAGAGCGATTGTCCACCGATGTTAATAGGCTCCAAGCCGAGGTCAACGAATGGAAGCACCGTTATGCCAAGGCGAAAGCGCAGTCGCGTCACCTTCGTGCCTCATCTGGTGGCTTCGCTGATCACCGACCTGATGCGAGAAACGCCATGGCGCAGGAGCATGAGCTGGTACAGGCTGATGGCGTGGTCAAGGATATCCATGTCACCAAGTTCCAGATGTCGATTGACGAGCTACTCCGTGTCGCTCGCTTCGAGGATCCTCAGCAGGTGTCGCACCAGATCAAGTATGTCATTATGGCCGTTCGTCATATGATTCAAGATGTGGACCAGGCTCCTCCTCCAGTCGATGGTCCGGCTACTCTGCGCATCAAGGCCAAGGGCCGCGTCTCCGCCACTGCAAACAACATGATCACTGCCGCCCGCAACTTTGCTAGCTCCAGTGGCCTGTCGCCAATTTCTTTGTTGGATGCGGCAGCCTCGCATCTTTGCACTGCTGTCGTTGAATTGATTCGCGCGGTCAAGATCCAGGCATCACCTGCAGATGGTCTGGAGGAGGACGAGGAGGATCTCTCGCAGGAGAAGTTCCCAGACTACTTCAGCACCACGGCTAGTCAGAGGCGACTCAGTAATCACTCCGATTATAGCGTCCTGAGCCCTCCGGATCAATCGCACCCTGCGATGCAGAGTGGCCTGACGAATGGCAATGGATATGGCTACGGGGCTCCTCAGGAGGACCACGAGCTCCAGGAACTTAAGGTAAAAGCCCCCTCACTAGAACACACTTCTCTGAAATAACACTGACTCGTGTGATTGTATAGCTCTACGTTGAGGACCAAACTGATAGCATGGTCCAATCCATCCAAGCCCTGGTAGCCAGCATCCGCGCCGAGCATGGCATGGACACCGTGCAGACGTACGTTTCTGCCATCGGCGACATCGTTGCACATGTGTGCTCCTCTACAGAGAACATGATCCACGACCGTAGCGGGGATGCTTCCCTGCGCGAGCGAACCGAGTCAGTGATTCAGAGTTTGGATCAATGCCGCGAGCGGTTGATGAAGATTGCCGCTGAGGGACACGATGTTACCAGCCCTGAGCATCTGCGCGAGATCACCAACCAGCTACCACCAATTGCATTCGAAACAGCCCGTCATGCGCAAGACCTCGTGCAGCGTCTTGAGTCACTAGCCCAAGCCGACGACGACGATTTCCGGTGATGATCCACGTCCTTCAAAATCCTTCCTTCATCTGTTCATTCTTCTCAATTCTTATACACGAGCACCGGGCTAGTCGCACCGCTTCCTGCACCATTCTTTCTTCCCTTCTCTTCCACCACCCCCACCCTTTACTACATTGATTCAACTACTTTCACTTTTTCTTATTCTGTCTCTTATTCTGTCTCTTGCTTTTAAGCGACTATCATCTGTGGCAACGAGCCGACAATGTCGAAATGATGTCCTGATACGTTTGGCATAGTCGTCAACCTAGATTTGCGGCGGCTATGTGATTCTTATTTTTTTCTTCTATATTTCCTGGCCCTTTTCAGTTCTTGGGAAATAGCACTGTAATCTTATCATGATTTATATTACCTTTGGTTTCTTTGGTGTTGGTAATGGACTGCTATTTTTGGTGTAGACTGTCCCGTTTTTGACACTTCCGGGTTTGACATGTGGCAATGCGAGACCACAAGCGTCGGCAAAGTATGCTGTGTCCAAAATTAGTTTCTCATTTCAGGTCCCATTGACGACCGCGGTGGATTGAATGAAACATCGAGGCGCATCGTCAAATGTATCACGATATCAAACAGAAGCATTGCTCCGCATGTCCAGTTGCGATGCCGTGGTGACGGTCATGAATGTGCTCCTCATTCAAGAGCATAGGGATCATTGATTTGATCACAAGGAAGAAACATCAACCCATTGACGAGCACGAAAGATTCTAAATGAATGCAGTCAGGATAGCAGACATGATTGGAGCTTCTTAGAGACAGTTGAAGCTTCTTATGACAATATTTACAGTGGAAATAAACAATACAACAATGCTTGTTCAGTCGGAAATGCCAACCCGGCCACAACCATCTATCACAAATCCTCAACACCTTCAATTCAGAACTGATCCCTCAAACCCTTCACCTCCTCATCCTTCAACCGCTCTTCATTCAATGATATCCACCACGCATGAGACGGGTCCTGACTCTTCTGAGAAACCACCTGGCCCTTCTGCTTAGCCGCCCATTCATCCCACGGCTTCGGACTAAGAATGTAATGCACGTTCTTGACATGCTCGTCCCGCCAGATTGCATCATGAACACCCTTCCACCGCAAAGTCTTGAGTGCGTTGTAAATGTACGGGATGGCAACCCATCGGCCGTAAAAGACATCGCCAAGCAGAGACTGATCGGCAAAGTCGTAGCTCGACGCCGTCGAAGAGGCGAGCTGCGCACTGATCTTGTCGTACGTCCCTTGAGACGGATTCACCACTTGAAGACCACCATTGGGAATGCCCAAGCCCGCGGTAGACGGAGCACCGACCGTTTGCGCGGTATCGGGGTCATCATGTTGGCTAGTAAAGGCACAATTGGCCGGGATCCTTTCCAAAAAAAAATCATCAGCATGGAACTTGCTATACCACCCAGCCTGTCAGGGATACATTATTCATACCAATCCTTGGGATAATGAGGCTTTTGCAACGGATTACAAACACAAGCATGACTGGCCGCAAACACCCTCTCTCCCGTGCCTGCCAGCTCTGGCGCATCGAGTTCGATATCCATCAACTCATCCATATTCTGGAGCGCGATCATGTCACTGTCCAGCTGGACGACGCGCTCGTACTCGACAAGCGAGAAGGGGGTCAATTTGCTCCAGCAGTCGTAGAAACGCACGTCGTTGGTGTAATCCTTCGACACGGAGGGAAGAAGATACGGGACGTGTCGTTTTAGGATTCCCCGAGCGTCGAGGGCGACGTGGCCCTCGGCTGGGAAGGAGTCCGTGTAGAGGACTACTAGGGGATACTTTGACTTGACTTTCTTGAGAGAATAGTCTAGGGTTAGAAGGCCGGATAGGTAATCCGTGTTTGTGATTAAGGTGGTCCAGACTGGGTGTTTAGATTAGTATTTTGAGTACTAGATTATCTTGAGGAGTTTTTCAGACGCTTTCGTTGGGGCATTCATACCTTTCGGACCACCGAGTGGTTGCGCGTGGTCTCCCATGATGCCCGTCTTGGTATGTCGTTGATGATGGTGAGTTTTGTTACTCCAATTGGTCGATCACCAAACGCTCGGTAACTTGGAGAAGAAGAGATTTGCCGTGCCCTACTCCAAGGATTAAACGATCTGGAATAAAATGTCAGATTGCAAGGCAAGAGGGGCACCGCGGGCTCCGGAACCTTCGCCCTGGCGCCCGCAATCGGGGATCGGGATCGGATCGGTTGGAAGGCGGTAGAAACGTGTTGGCGTAAGTGGGGGAGCGACTGGCATCATCCTGGAGTTGGGCGTAGTTTAATTGGCAGTCCTTGCAAAGAAAGGGTCAACACGTACCCTAGTCTAGTATGTAAGTTAGTAACTTTTTAATCTGATGACTTGCAGGACAAGATATACATTGTTAGCTCGATCTCTAGTTGTTTTTCTGGTGGAATTCCCAAGTCTGGCTTGACCAGTTCGCGATTGATGGTTCTGCGTATAGCAACCATGTTTGCCCTACCAAGATGAAAAGAGCCTGTTACTGTGGTCGTCAGAAAGGACCAAGTGCTACACTCCAGGTATATCTCCGAGTAGTCCTATTTTCCTCGTTCATCTTCCGACCAAACTTGGAGGCAGGTGACAAGATCATGGACCCTAGGGCTTGGCTACGTTGTCACCCGTAGAGATGTCCTTGTCAATATTGCCGTTACAGCAGCACAATAGATCTGACGACTCGTCTCAAAGAACGCGATACTTTGTCCTTGATCGCAGTCGATTCCAAACAATTAAAGAAGCTATTCGGGATCCTTCAATACAGACATTGCACAACCCCTATTGTTTCCCTACAGGTTCTGGTTGTGTCTAAGAGGTGATCTCAATGGAACATAGAAGGTAACTGTTCACTTTGCACTTGAATACCCCAATTCTCATTTTACAAGTGGATATTCTAGAGTAGAACTCCGTACAAACGGAGCACTCCGCAAAGACCGTCTCCATTTTCGGCCGGGGCGGAAGGGGGTTCCCGGGATTACATAAGCGTGAAGCTTTCCAGGAGCTTTTTCACGACGAGCTTCCACCTTTTTCCTCCTATAGCTTCCGTTCATCGCAACATTCAGCATCTGTACTTTTAATTAGTAAGTGAGTCTCTTTTCTGGAGTTGTCCGAGTGCATTGAGATCCTCTATGGCTCTCTCCGGGACCTCTACCTAGGGGGTCGCCCTCGCGCAAAGCCCTGGATGGCATGCTCATGGTCTTCCCTGGAGATGACTTCAGATGGGGATGATACCTCAGGCTGCAAGGCTGCAAGGCCAGCAGGCCACACGGCACTCCTTTCTCTCTCATTCGTCCGCTGTGCCCAACATGCACGTTTGGTCTCAGTCGCCCTCCGCAGCAGCTAACCCGCTTGCAGCCCGGCACCCGAGTTGTCCCGCTCCGCCATCTGCCCCTCACCATGTTTTGCCGCCTCAAGTCAACCCCACCCTCCCTCTTTTCTTCTTCTTGCTCCTTCCATCCTTTTGCCTATCGATCATTCACATCATCCGCAATCATGTCCGGAAACACCAAGGCTTTCTTCGAGGTCCAGTACACCCCCACGGGTGGTGCGCGTAAGTTCCTTTCTCTATTCTGTTTCTTTCACAATCCAATGCACATATCTGTTCTTCGTCCTTGAGAAGAATGGAGGGGTACTACTCTTGGACCCCCTCCGGCCTTCAATTGTGGCCATCCATCCTCTCTCATCTCCACGAGATCATATGTTATAAATGATCATCTCTACAATTGATCCTGACGCTGATTCCTATATCTAGCCAAGACTGGCCGCATCAACTTCAACCTCTACGAGAATGATGTCCCCAAGACCGCCAAGAACTTCCGTGAGCTTTGCAAGCTCCCCGAGGGTCAGGGCTACAAGGGCTCCGGCTTCCACCGCATCATCCCCCAGTTCATGCTCCAGGGTGGTGACTTCACCCGCCACAACGTGAGTTTTCCCCGTATCTTGCATGAATACCTCGTTGGCCTTGTCTTCTGCTGGGAACGGCCGTCTCCGTGAAAAATCTTGCTAACCACCTTGCTTCTCTCGGAATAGGGCACCGGTGGTCGCTCCATCTACGGCGAGAAGTTCCCCGATGAGAACTTCAAGTACAAGCACACCCGCCCCGGTCTGCTCTCCATGGCCAACGCTGGCCCCAACACGTAAGTCTCTTCCACCCCGGCCTTGAGAGTTCTCTCTCTCTCAAAACCACTCTCACCGGGATAGTTGCTAACATTCGCTTCTTTTGCTCCGCTTTCCAGCAACGGCTCCCAGTTCTTCATCACCACCGTTGTCACCTCTTGGCTCGATGGCAAGCACGTCGTCTTCGGCGAGGTTGCTGACGAGGCCTCCATGCAGGTCGTGAAGGAGCTCGAGGCCCTTGGCTCCTCTTCCGGCTCCGTCCGCTCCGCTACCAAGCCCACCATCGTTAACTGCGGTGGTGATTAAACTTTTCAATCTTCTATGATTGAGAGTTGAGTTTTGGCGGCAGTGTCCCTCTTCGAGCGCGGGGTTTTCCTCTACGAAAAATAGTGGGGGCAGAGTGGCCCTTCTTGGTGGCTCTCCCTTTTTGCGTGGTGTAATCTAGACAGTCTACCAAGCTAGTCATGCATGCTCCCTAGTGCAGGGAACCCCAAGATTTTCTTAACCATTGTAGAGTAATCTTCCATTGGTGTTAGTCCTGCTAACCTGTTTTTACACCGAGGAGGGGGAGGAGGGGTAGGCTCATTCGAGTTTGGTAAAAAGAGTGGGGGTGGTACCCTGGAGAACTTCCAAATGACGCTGAATTACACCTTCGTTATCAAGCAGTCCTCTGCTTACGGTAGGGTTGGTCAAGTTAGAATTAGCATACAGACCTGTCTGTTATTTCACAACAAGATGAAAGACTTATACTTATGGAGTACCAAGTGGTGACTTGGTGATTTTAATAAATGTTCTAGATCTATCCATTCAAGACAGCACTCGGTTAGCAAGAGACTGGCTAGCCGAGCGCGATAATGTCGTCGGACAAGAAGAGGACACCAATATCTTCTCTGATGCTTTAAGCGATATATCAGCATCAGACGACTCATGGGGGCTTGAATTGATTCCACTATCAATGGACCCAGCCGATATTGTACTCGGGTGACAGCTCCTGGCCACTTGCCTCCCCGCCTTCTCTGTTCAATGATCATCACGAAGCATAGACTTTTCTATCACATTATTAAGACCGAACAGTGCACTTTTTTTTCTCACCCCCTGGGCTATGGTCAAGAAGCGGCTTGGATAAGCCTAATCATGTCGTACGTAGTCAATACCTTGGTCGAGCTTGCAATAAGTAGAAGTGCGAACCACCCTCGACTGGCTTTATTGAATGCGCTTCTCAGTACAAACGCTTTCCATATAGTCTAATATTCAGTTATTCGAGCTGATTATTAGATCATAGTAGGAACTCATATCTGCAGAAAGCCGAGAGTCACTTTATACAATGCGTGGAAGAGAATTGCATGTCGGGCACTACGAAAAATAAGTATACGGAGATTCTCATTGCAATATTGAGCCTTTCCACTGCTTGCGTATGCGTCTACATCACCTTTGATCGGAGCCCCGTGGCGATCTCGAAATTAACGAACAAATCTTACGACGCAGATGGTGGATGGCAATGCAGACAGGCGTCGATTCTGCCTTGTAATGCGGAAAAGCTTGTCTCCATCAACGGGTTCGGGAAGTTTACAATTCCACACAAGCGGCGATCTCTTCATCATGGCTACACATACATGCGCCTTACGGCGGAGACTATATGCATTGCTGACGGCTTAAGCGAGCGACTAACCAACGCCAATCTATCAGGGGAGGACGAACCCAGCACATAATTCCGAATTAGCTGCGACATTGTATTAGAAAGTATTCTGGCACAGCAGAAAGCCCCCAATATTGCGCAGCGTGACCTCCACTTCGCTATTATGGGTCGTTGGAGCTTGACGCTGTTCCCAAAGATGGACGGCGTTGCACAGGGTTCTCTCATGCTTCTGTCGCAGGCCGGCTGGCCAACGAGCGTGAATTTTCCATGCGAAATGAAACTGGGAGCGGAGGCTTGAACCTTAGGGGACTTCTGGTCTCGGGCAAAGGCAATGGAGAAGGGGATTAATATAGTTCTGAGATGATGTACGACAGGGTCTAATCCCAACTACGAGCATGAGAGCGAAGTACAAGCTGATAATCCAAGAGCACGAGCCATGTACACTTCTCTACTTATCTTCTTCCACCGCCGGATATACGACCTTGATGCTACGATGCCCCAGAAAGATGTTACTTCTGTGTTCTCTCTGCTCATGTGCGATCAGCAAGACGAAGCTGGCCGGAACAGTCACAGGATGGCCAGCTGATATGGCCAGCATTTATCGCTGCGTGTGAAGCAGTGAACTGACATTCTCAGACAATCTTCTCCGAGTGAGTTGATACTATTTTTCAACAACTGGGCTCATGAATGCGTCCGTGGCAACTTCTATTTCTGAGATGATATGGGCTAAGAGACAGGAGATTGGGCTGAATAAGGACATGTGTAACTGGCCAGACGTGTTAAGAGCGAAGAAATAAGGCTGATGTGTACCTAAATGATGTCGACAGAGGATCGGACATTGCGTAATTCCATAGTATCCTCACCCGTCCATTCTCCCTTGTGTTCTCCTCAGCAAGATTTCTTGTGATACCCTGTGATGATGACCAAGATCGGGTCTGCGGTCTAACCACAGCACTTGGTAACTTGTGTGGCATCATTCCTGTGACAGCACAAACAATTGCTCAGAAAATGTTCAGGTGGAAATACTTGATGATGGAGAAGTACAGCTTGAGAGGGAGAAACTTACTCCTTCGACAGAGACAGAGGCTCCCACGAGAAGACGAGAGAGCCTAAGAACGCTCCGATGAAGATACAGATGATGATGTAGCCGTTGTAGTACATCGCCAAAAGCATGATGAAGTATGCCACGGCAAACTGAACCGTGTGAAACAAAGCACGAATCACTTGCTCAATCGGAGAGGGACGATACGGCGCGACTATATCAGAGTTCTTGCGATCAGCCGTGCCACCGTCAACCAAGTGCACACCTTCTGCAGTCACGGGCATGACACTATTCGGACCCGCGAGTTTGGGATTGGAGGATTCGCTGCCAGGAATAGTAGTGATTTTGTCGTCATCCCGTGGACAATCGCAAGGGCAACCTGGGTCGTTGGCTCCGGAAGCCTTTATCTTTTTTCCACTTCGCTCGGGTGTCATGGAAGCAGAGCCAGGGAGGTAAGTCTGTCGCAGGCTAGCTCGACGTAGGATGAAGGAATCATACTCACGACCCAAACGACGCAAGAACTCCAAGCAAAGGACGAGGCAGATGGTACCGATGCAGGAGCCTGCGAACATGCCACGAGAACGGATATGCCACGAGCTAGACAGGAAACCTAGACATCCAAAACGAGTCAGTATCATAGGCGAGAACGTATAATGCAGGAGGGGAAGCAAAGCACGTACAGGAATCAAGAGTGTACCAGTTCCAGAGCATCTGACAAATCCAGATTAGTTCGAATCAAGACAGAGAGTTCATCAGTGGTACGATGTGAGTAAACTAACCGAGATCCGACAGCTCATGTCCATACCAGCCATGCTAGGCATGGTCGGCATCGCTGTCTCGCTTGACGCGTTCGATGGCATGTTTGGCATACCCATCGAGCTAGTGTTCATGGCCGCCAAAGCTGTAGAGACCGCGGTCATCGTCATGGCCGAGGCCATTGTCATGGACTCCATATTTCGAGAGGTCAGACCAGGCAAAGCGTGCAGTGAAGGACGTGTACAGAGAAGCAGAAAGAAGAAGATGAGAGGAAGGAAAAGAAGAGGTCATGAGAAACAGAATACACGCTTTCCTTCACGAGTTCGACTGCCCTTTTTGGGGGGATGAGCACATTTCGAACCTTCCGATGGAAACCGCCGAGGGATTTGGAAACGAGCACGATTGAGCAAATTCCTACGCTTTCTATTACGGACCCAAAACAAACTCGCTTTTTTCCCGCAATCCAATATATCCAATATTCAGTATTCAACAAGCGGTACTTAACATTGGAAATGTCCTGAACACCAAAAAGAACGCCGTCAAAAGTGCATGGGTATCAGGTTTCTCATCACATCTAGGCCCGGCTCGACTCTTTAATCACTCCCTCCAACAGCTCACGGATCTGGTTACACCCATCAATTCCCACGGCCAACATCGTCTCGATATACGAGTAGTGCAGTTTCGAATCCATAGTCAATACGGCCACCTTCATATCGCTCTCCTCCTCGTCCATGTTGTTTTCTCCCACGGGTACCGAGGTGGTAGTGCCAACGGTCAAAACGGGCAGCTCTTGCTCTTCAGGAAGCGACAAATCGAGGAGCGGGTCGAGTTCATCATTTCGAGGATCCCGCGGCGTGGAGGCGCTGCCACTCATACCAGCTGTGCAGCTAGTGAGCAGACCGGGCATTGGGACACCGGCGTCCACAAGGGCCAATGTGCAGGCATTGATCGCAGCAGAAAGTAGAGACCCATCGGCAGAGAGAACGGAGACATGGATACTAATCGTACTATGCGGGTAGAGGTATGTGTGGAGGTGCGATTGGAAGGCCGAGCGTAGGGTTGTTGCGATTCGCGAAGATTGTCTGTTCCCCAGAATGTTAGCATTCATTAGATCTTATACCTATAGCCCGTACACATGAAAGCCAAAAGGTTTCCAATGATTGGAAGCTAATCCAGCCACTTACTTGTCACTTCCTCCCGCCCTCCGCTTACGATCCACGCCAGCAAACCCGGCAACGTTCACGTCCACCTCGACGATGGCACCTGCGCTGCCACCGGAACCACTGGCCTCACCACGACGACCTTCAGCAGGGCCATGGACGGAACACATGATCGCAGTATTGCCCATAGACAGGTATGAGGAGCCGGAACTGGCGGGGTTGGTCGAGATCTGCGCTTGAATAAGACGCAGCTCGTTCCAGCGGCGACCGTCAAGGCGCAGCTTGGTCAAAGGATACGTCGTGGAGGTATCGAGCGGCATTCTGGCGGAATGGATTCGGCAGGGATGTGACAGTTATTAAAAAGCGAGGGCAGGCCTCAGAAAGCAAGCTCGTCAGGTGCTCGGTCCGCAAGAGTCTAGGTGGGATGCAAATTAGTTCTCAAAGGTCAAGTCCGGGTTCCGGGGCCAAAGTTCTATTGAGCTTACGTCGCATAGATCACCCAAGAAGATCAAAAATCAGATAAACCCCAATTGAGAGCGGGTTGAGTGTGTATAAGGGTGTAGAGTAGTGGAGTTCTGCGGAGAGGAGTTTGGCCAGACAGCTTTTTTTCTCGGCGATCGGGAATGACATACTTTCTCCGCCTTTGGAGCCTGCACCTGCTCACCGCGCGCATTCACCACCTTCCCCAGCGACACTGATCGGCTATGCAGGGGATATGGGCGATCTCACTACTGAGGTCGATGTCATCCACATTGAATCAGATGATGATGACCTGGAGGTGACAGGTTATCTGGGTGCAGGTACCAGTTACAGTACGTACTATCTAACTGTTGTGATGCGCGCCACATAAAGCTAACTGTAGTATCTCAGATAGAACACCAACCACCTTGAAACACGAAGAGCCTACGGATGCCCCTAGCCCTAGGCTAACCCGTTCAGCTCCGAAATCTGAAGCCTTCGACACGCCGTCTCGCCTATCATCGAGCACGCCGGTCAAAATCCAAGACGAGAACGACGATGACTTCAACGATGGCGAAGCAGCATACAAAAAGTTCAAAGAGCGCAAGTCCGTCAAGCGCAGACAGAGTGCGGCTGCAACTAGGAGGGCAAAGGCTCCCAAGAAAGAACACCGAGACCAGAAAATGGTCGGTATCATCAAGCCAGAACGTGCACCAGCGAGGCCCAAGAGGCCATTGAAGGATTACGGCGAGGTCTCGTCAGAGGATGAGCTGATGGAGTACACTCTTCCAGACTATCTGAAGAATCGAAGGGCTCACTTCGATCGGGATCAACAAAACCTCAATGAGCACGGCCTAAAGCTGCCTCCTTCCTACGACGAGGTTGACTTTTCCGATGACGAGCGCCTGGAATATCTGCAAGAGAAGCCATCATTCCCTGACAGTAAGCCAGTCAGAGAATACAAGGATATAACGTTGCAATATTCACTGGGTCTGATTCCCGCGCCAATTGCACAATGGCTACGCTCGTATCAAGTTGAAGGGGTCGCCTTCATGCACGAATTGTTCGTCTACCAGAAGGGAGGTATCCTCGGCGATGACATGGGTCTGGGCAAGACCATTCAAGTGATTGCATTTCTGACAGCCGCTTATGGCAAAACTGGCGACGAGCGGGATTCGAAACGAATGCGCAAGATGAGAAGATCGGGTGACAACACATGGTATCCGCGCACGCTGATTATCTGCCCTGGAACTCTGATTTCCAATTGGATATCCGAGCTTCAGCGGTGGGGGTGGTGGCATGTCGATGTCTATCATGGCAGCAACAAGGACATTGCTCTTCACGCTGCGAAATCAGGTCGTGTCGAGATCTTAATTACTACCTACACCACATACGTGAATAACAAGGATTCCGTGAACATGGTGGATTGGGATTGTGTGATAGCAGATGAATGCCACAAGATCAAGGAGCGCAAGTCCGAAACAACACAAGGGATGAACGAGGTCAATTCTCTCTGTCGAATCGGCTTAACGGGCACGGCCATTCAGAATCGGTACGAGGAGCTATGGACCCTTTTAAATTGGACGAATCCGGGCGTTGTTGGGCCGGTGACAACCTGGAAGGCGCAAATCGCAGAACCGTTAAAGATTGGACAATCGCATGATGCCACATTGAACCAACTCAGCAAGGCTCGAAGAACGGCAAAAAAGCTTGTCGAAAACCTGCTTCCGCAGTTCTTCCTCCGTCGCATGAAGACTTTGATCGCAGATCAGTTACCCAAAAAAAGTGACAGAGTCGTCTTTTGCCCTTTGACCTGGACACAAGCAGAAGCCTACGAGAACTTTCTGGACAGCGATATTGTGACTACCATCAGGTCTGCCACTGAAAATTGTGATTGTGGATCAGGGAAGAAGAGAGGATGGTGCTGTCATAAACTGGTGCCTGGCACGGACAAGACGTGGCAGTCTTACGTCTTTCCGGCTATCGCAGTCCTCCAGAAGCTTAGCAACCATCTAGCTATTTTGATCCCGCAAGGAAACGACGCTAATGAGAAACAAGAAAAAGAGAAGGAGATGCTGCAAATAGCCTTGCCTGATCAATGGGAAGAGCTGTATCGTTCCCGCGACTCGATTGTCAACTACGCAAACCCCGAGTTCTGTGGAAAGTGGAAAGTCCTGCGCAAGCTGCTTAGATGGTGGCATGCGAATGGTGACAAGGTCCTTGTTTTCTCGCATAGCGTACGCCTGCTGAAAATGCTGCAAATGCTATTCAACCACACTAGCTACAATGTGAGCTACCTGGATGGATCCATGAAATACGAAGACCGTGCCAAGGCCGTGGATGAGTTTAACTCTGATCCAAACCAATTTGTCTTTCTCATCTCCACCAAAGCTGGCGGGGTTGGATTAAATATTACATCGGCCAACAAGGTCGTCGTGGTTGATCCGAACTGGAACCCGGCTTATGATCTTCAGGCACAGGACCGAGCCTACCGCATCGGACAAATTCGCGATGTGGAAGTCTTCCGACTTGTTTCAGTCGGCACCATCGAGGAGATCGTCTACGCCCGTCAGATCTACAAGCAGCAACAAGCCGAGATCGGCTACACCGCCAGCTCCGAGCGACGCTACTTTAAAGGTGTGCAAGAAAAGGCCGATCAGAAGGGCGAGATCTTCGGTATGCAGAATCTCTTCGCCTACCAACATGATAACGTCGTACTCCGTGACATTGTCAACAAGACCAACGTCGCCGAAAGCCGGGCCGGCGTTCAAGTCATGGACTTTGAGGTCAAAGAAGACGACGAGACTGAATTTACGGGCGAGAGAAGCGTTAAGGCTGAGGATGAAGCAATGAGCCAACTAGCCGCCATGGTCCGCGGTGAGACTGATGCCGAAGGCCCGAAGGCCGAGACCGCGCGCAGCCATGACCCGATCCAGGCCATTCTCGCCGGGGCAGGTGTCGAATACACTCATCTCAATAACGAAGTCATCGGCTCATCCCGCGTTGAAGAACGACTCAGCCGACGCGCAGAGCAAGTCATCAATGACCCTAATGCAGATATTCAAATCTTCGAACCCTCTCAGGACGTTGGTACTGGTGACGACCCTTTCGCAGAACCACTCCATCAACACCCGTCACCGTCAGTGTTCCGGGGTCCCAAGGGGCAGATCATTCGGTTCAAGTATAACCCGCCTGAGGATGTGAAGCGCCGTCAGTTCTGCAGCATGGCCCGACGGCTTGGGTATGCCGATGCGACGGAGTTTGCAATTGTTGTGGAGAATATGACGCAGGCTCAACGGAGGGAGTGTTTAGATAAGTGGTACCAGGAGCGAAGGAATGTTGTTCTTTCACAGGATGACAAGGCAGAAGTCAAGGGCGAGCAATAAGATTGCTTGAAGGCTCGCTTGTTTGTGTTGTTTTTTTTTTATCTCTATCAGTCGCTTCCTCGATGGAAAGCTGGAGGGCTGGCGTTGTACGGATGATACCCATATGGATTTGCTTTCACAGCTCTAAGAAATGCCTCGTTCAGACACAATGCAATGTACTACCAATTAACTCGTACAGTATGGCTCGGACCAAGGTACAAAGAGCATTACGTAGCACAGTTCTTCGATTCGTAGTTCAATAACCGATCTAGCATAAATTGCACAATCCCAGAACACAAAACCCAAGCATCTGCAAACAGTGAAAGGGGGGTATCAGAAAAACAGGACAGCGAGGATGGTCAAGGCCTCTACAGCCAGGCCAGAGTCCACAAGGCCGGCAGATTGGGATGCTTCTCCTGCCACTCCGCCAGTATCTCCGGAACACTCTCATCAAAGCTCAAGCGAGCAGCACCAGACCCGTTCTCCCACCCGGCAGAACCATGCAATTTCCGCTGCGCGAGGGCAGACTCGTTCAAGCGGTTCGCCAAATCCAGAATGGCATTTCCACCGACCAGGGCTTCCTCGTGGTTATCCTTGATATCGACATTGAAGACGTGAACGGGACGATTCAAGTTATTACCCTTATTCATCAGATCGTCCACCACGGCATCCCAGCATCGCTCTTCACAAGTGATAATCACATCGACAACGCCACCCTCCGTCCCCAGCGCGCCCTTATCGCCCTTGGAAATATGCTCGAGACGCGGCTGCCCGGGAACCCAATCCTGGAACCGCTCCGGGCCCCATTTCAGATTGCGGTTGCGGTCCAGCATATTCAGGATTCCGTTGTTGCGGTATAGTCGGGGGTCTTTTTCCTCCAGTTCCTCGTACATCTGGTTGTAGGAGGTGACGTTGAAGCTGTACACGTTTGGTTGCGTGATCGATGGGCCCGGGAGACGGACTAGCGAGCCCGTGCCGAAGGATATCACGGGAAACGCGGTTGGTGCGGTGGATAGTCGTAGGTGAGCCTCCATGGAGCGGTTGTTGTTGGAGGCACAGACTGTGCAGAACTTGAGCTTCCATGGGTCGGGGGGTTGCTCGGAATTGTCTCCAGTGACGGCGACGGCGTCTGCCGTGGCCGTCTCCATGGCCCCGTCGGTGGTGGAAGGCATCTCTGAGAGTGCGGATTCGGGTGGTGGGGGAGGAGGGGGAGGAGGGTTTTGAGGAGTGGTGCTTCCGAGGTTTACGCGAGGGTCGTAGGCCGCCATTGTGGGCGTGGATGATTATATGGAAGGGCAAAGGGGGGTTGGAGAGTAGGTTGGAAAGATGTAGAAATGGTAAAGTAGTACTAAGAAGGATAGGAAGAGGAGAGTGCCTGGCAGCTAGGTCGTAGCTAACGGGCAAAAGGGAGCTTAGGGAGGCTTGAAGATGGGTTTACGATCTCCTGGTAATGACTAGTTGGGCATTAGCATTGGGGCCCGGAAGTTGAATGAAATCAAGCAATGGCAGAGGTGGTTAGGAAAGAAATGGGGTTCAGAGAAAAAAGCGTATAATGAGTTTGTCCGCATAGCAAAAGCTCAGACAGCTCCAATAATAAACTCATCATTTGAAAGTGTATAAAGGGATAAAAACAATTCGAGTACTGGCATCCTTTTAACGTACCTTGCAGCTATCGTTCATTATCCAGTGTGCGATTGAATATGGTATTTCATGGGGGCCGTAGCCCTTGGAAGGAGGAAAGGAAAAGAAATCCAAGTTTTGGTGGTTCGGCCACTTCCCATTTTTAGCGTGATGGCTGACTCAGCAGGCTTAGCTCGGCCAGCTTGGGCTTTAAATCGCCTCTTGGCGCCACGGAAGCTCTCCAACGTTCGACACTGGCTTGACACTATCCAAGTCTACCCGGATCTACTTTCGCCATGGAATTTAAAGGCAGTGATAGGGGCCCATTTGTGCCCGCTCTGATCGTCGTGGATATGCAGGAAGACTTCTGCCCACCCGTGAGTCTCGCGGATATAGCTGACCATATAGCTCGAGAAGCTCGGACATGCTGATGTGCACCTGGCAACGATGCTTTCGCGGACTGAACAGAATGGATCCCTCGCCGTGCAAGATGGCCGAACACTTACTCCACTGATAAACAATCTCCTCTCCCAGCCTGGGTTCGTGACGCGCATCGCAACCCTAGACTATCACCCCGCAGACCACATTTCCTTCGCCAGCAACCATCCCCCGCCCAACAATCGACCGTTCGAGTCTTTCATCGAAATGAAGAATCCAGCACCGGATAGGAAGACTGAATCAAAGCCCCAGCAGCTCTGGCCGGTTCATTGCGTGGCTGGAAGCCCCGGGGCAGAGTTGATTCCCGAGATTGACGCCGGTCGCATTGATTTGTTCGTTCAGAAGGGCAAGCATCCGCAGGTCGAGATGTATTCTGCCTTTGCAGACGCCTTTGGAAACCTAGATCCGGCGGTGACGGCACAATCTGTCAATGTGGATATTACATCGGTGCTTGAAAAGAAAGGGGTCACGGATGTATTCGTCGTGGGGCTCGCGGGGGACTATTGCGTGAAATGTACTGCGATCGACGCCGTCAAGGCTGGATTCCGCAGCTGGCTTATTGAAGACGGTACCAAGTGTGTGGTGCCTGCTAGTTGGGATAAGGTGAAAGAGGAGCTTCGAGTTGCAGGAGTGTCGGTCATCCATGCCGGTGATGCGATTGTGAAGAAGCTGGCCGTAGCAGTGGCATAGATTGCCCGATAGTTCTGTTATGCTTTGGTAAATTCGATTTTGATAATTGATTCCCCCCCGCCTTTTTTTTTCGTGTTGCTATCTCTGGGTATGGCGGACTATAGGGAGGAGAAGGCCATAACCCTTTTCCCGCAACTTAAGAATCGGCAGAATCTCATTTCCAGGCATCCTTTTCCCCATATAATCTACGCATATTATATATACCCTTTGTGAAGTGCGATTTCCAGCAGCAAAACAATCGGAATCGATTCAGATTCAATAACTGATGAGATTACTGGAGCTAAATTGTAGATATAGTTCCTAGACGTTTTCCTAGACGTTTTCCTAGCTAGTTTCCTAGTTAATCTCTACGTTGATCTCCATGAAATGTGATTAGGGTGGAAGAAAGCGGTAAATGGTCTTTGAAGATATTCAGGATTATGGCCTTCTCCCCCCTATATTCCGCCGTATCTGGGTCTTGAGTACTGGAATGTTGGTTCCATTCCTGTCCGAGGCACATACTCCGCGTGGATTCGTGTCCTTGCCACCGAGTGGATTCCGGTAGATGAGATGCCCCCGAGTGATCGACATTCAAATAAACGGCCCGTGGGGGTGCTTATTTCAGGAACGTTTCCCCCCCCCCCCCCCCCTGCCTTTCGATTCCCTCCAGCACTACTGCAGAGTGACGTCGCTTCTGAAAGGGTCGTACAGTTTTGTCTCTACGAGATCCGTCGTACGGGAGCACGAGCAATCCAATCTAAATCCGGTCTTCCTTATCAGATACGGCTTACGATGCCTCATTCAACAATTGTGTCCACCCCTGCAGCGACTGTCACCTCGCTCGACGAGAAACTGGTCGATGCCGACGTCGACGTGCCAGCACGCTTTCTACACGACCGGGGTATGACCTCGGAAAATCTCCCTTTCTGGCTGGTAAATGTACCCCGGTCGCAATGGACCGCTGAGTGTCCTGCCTTTCTTCGAGACCAGCCGCCAAAGAACGTGCAATGCCTCGCTACACCCGACAGCCACTATCAGCGACAGAGCTGGGAGGAAGTACAGGAGATCACCAGTTGAGTGGAGCTCGTTTCATCTGTCATGCATCTTGGCGCCGAGGCCAGGTCGCTCAGCTGAGTTAAAAAAAGGTAATAGGCTAACAGGCGTTTGCATTTGACTCCGCAGGAACGAACCGGATCGATCGATTCCAACGTGTGCCGAGCGAACTGCGCAAGTATCTGGAATACATGGCCCAGATCAAAGCCGAGTATGGATCGGTGATGCGGTTCGTGGTGACGGAGAGACTGTGCTGGGGCGATGGGAGTGCCGAGGACCTCCGGCCCCGTGGTGGCTTATTCGAGTTCTCCGGTAAGGACAAGGACCAGGACCCGTTGTTAGGCCCCAATGATTGAAAAAAAGGCGGCTGGCTAACGCGGTATACGAGGGATCTGGCTTATACAGAGGACATTCGGATCCTGTATAATGACTGGCCGTACGGGGTTGATACGGATATCATCCACCTGGTGGTCTGGACCAAATTTGCGCTTCCCGATGACCCCGCCACGGGCGATCTGACAGCAGAGGCGCGAGAGGCGATCGACGGATACGTCCGGGAGACTTTTCGTTCGCTGGCGCATGAGCAGGTCGTCTGGTTCAGGAACTGGAAGTCACTCAAGTCCGTCCACGCCATCGAACATTTCCACGTCATGCTCCATCGCCCGGATCTGGCATTCGTGCAGGAGATCACCCAGGGAGATGTACCGCTGATCGAGCGGGTATGAGAGAAGCCTTGGATACGCGGGTGCCTTGGCAAATGTTGAACGACGACTATAATCACCATTCTGTTCATCCTGACTGGATCCTCCGGCAGTTGTCAACAGAACAAGCTTGGACAAGTCTTGGACCCAAATCGACCAAGTGGACCGGCCTGCAGGCAACTGCACTCTGCAACGATATCCCCCGACCTGCGTGTTTGTCGACACATCGAGCCTCCCCCACTCTGCCAAGGCCGTGCCCCCTCCCCTGGCGACGATCGTGGAGAGATGGCAGAGCAAAAGAGAAGAGGGGAAATTCTGGAAGGTTTGACTTGGGGTAGAAAGAGAGATTTTCACGGGAAGCTCCAACAGTTTTGAAGCGAGACCCGAGTCCAAGATGCGAGGACCAACCCTTTGGGAAGCTAGCTCTGTTGGGCCAATCTATTCGCAGCCTATCGCGGGCGTGGATGGCGGCCAAAGTGGAGGCGTGAGGCTCGACGTCACTGCCCGACTGACCCAAGTCCAAGTAGAAATGGGGTACTTTTTTCTTTGGGGCCAGAGGGTCCTGTTGACGACTGTCAGAGTGACTGCAGTACTGTATTCCATTAGTAAAATAGCCAATAGCCCGTAAATAGTGACTACATACCGTTGGATATGATCCTGTACCAGTCCCCACCTGGTTTAGTTCCCAGTATTCGTATTGACTCCTCGTTCCAACGATGACGAGCTAAGCCTGCCCGCATCCTACTCGACCTTCTTTTTTTTTTTCGGGGCCTTGAGACATACTCCACAGCCTCTTTTCAATCCTTCAAGGCTTTTTTCTTCTTTCCCTTTTTTTTCAACCCCCTCGGGACCCTTAATTTCCTTTGATCTTCAAACCTACTCCGTACTACGTTCCCCGCTAGATGCCGTTGCGCTGAACCTTTCCTTTGCCCCCCCCCACAGAACAACATCCTACTGCTTCGATCTCTTCCGCTTGCAGCCATGCCGGTCCCGCACCTCCGCCGTGCTTCCTTAACCAGTGGGTGTCTCTTCTCTGCTCACGCACCATTCAACCATGTCGGACACTCACGCCATACTAGGCCGGTCATCTAGGGAGGACTCTCCCGGTAGTGGGGAGGAGGAGATTGTCGAGCCCGAGCAGGGAAATGGTACGAGAGCCCGCGCCGTTGGGAAACTGACCGCAATGAATTTCCCCGCGGAACACTTCCCCCCCCCCACTAACGAGCAAAATACAGTCCTCTCGCATATCATTTCGCAGCTCCGACCGGGCGCCGACCTGAGCCGGGTTGTCCTGCCCACCTTCATCCTGGAGCCCAGGTCGATGCTCGAGCGCATCACCAAGTATGTGCGATCTGGCGGGGGTCAAACGATCCGCAGTCACGGAACTAACAAGATTCTCCCAATAACAGCTTCATGGCCCACCCCGAAACGCTCCTCCCTATGCCCACGGTCGACGATCCCGTTGAGCGCTTCGTCTCTGTCATCAAGTTCTATTTAAGTGGATGGCACATCAAACCTCCGTACGTCTCTTCCGCCCCAAGGGCTTCTTCCTTTTCCTTTTCCCTCTTCCCTGCTTCCGGCGGTGACGACATACTGATTTTCTCCCCGCCCATGCTTACAGAGGCGTCAAGAAACCCTTGAACCCCATTCTCGGAGAGACCTTTACTTGTTATTGGGACTATCCCGATGGAACGCGGGGATATTATGTTTCGGAGCAGACCTCCCACCATCCGCCCAAGTCTAGCTACTTCTTCATGGCTCCCGAGCACCATATCCGAATTGACGGCACGCTTAAGCCCCGCAGCAAGTTCTTGGGTAACTCCGCAGCGAGTATGATGGAGGGTATTGCGATTCTGCGACTGTTGAACCGTGGCCAGGACAAGGAGAAGGGAGAACGATAGTATGTCTCTTTTTTTGGGCGGGGTTGTTCCATTGCAGCATATGGCTTTCTTGCTGCTTGCGCCAGAGTATGTACTAACCCGTTCTTTAGCATCTTGACGCAGCCCAACATGTACGCGCGCGGCATTCTGTTTGGAAAAATGAAGTATGAGCTAGGTGACCACAGTTATGTGCGGTGCCCGGAGAACAACCTTGTGGCCGATATCGAGTTCAAGACCAAGGGCTATTTCTCGGGTACATATAATGCAATCGGAGGCACGATCAAGAACGAGAAGACTGGTGAAGTGTTGTATGAATTGTCTGGAATGTGGAATGGCGAGATGCACATCAAGAACGTTCTTGTTCGTTCAATGCCCTTCTCCTTTCTCTCTGCGGTAGGCGCTAATAAAACTATACAGACTCACCAAAAGGAGGTTCTATTCGATGCCACACACGCAAAGCACGCGAAGCCTTCCGCACGCCCGATCAATGAGCAAGCAGAGCGCGAATCGCAACGGCTATGGGAACCTACGGTTAAGGCGATCCTTGCGCAAAACCATGTAGCCGCGACGGACGAAAAGACCAAGATTGAAGATCGCCAACGAGAAGAGGCTGCCAAGCGCGCCGACGAAGGTGTCGAGTGGCGACCTCGACTGTTCCGGGCAGTACACGGTGGTCCGGGTGGTCCAGACGAAGGCGAGGAAGACTTGGACTGGATCATCAATGCCGAGGTGTATGTATTGCAGGGCACACCCAAGCAGAATCGAATCTTGACTAATGGCTCAAAAAATTACAGTGACTCGCACGATCCCGAGACCGCAGTCAAGCAAATCCTGGCCATCGCGCCCATTGTTGCCGGTCAGAAAGACTCAACCCAATTCCAGATTCCGCCGCATGCTTCTAAGCCACCCAACGCTGAGCCACCGGCACTCCCCGAGCAGGACCAGACGGCTAATACCGCGAGCGCAGCCTCATCCACAGGAAACAACACAGCCGCCCCAAGCGTTGTCGAACGAAAGGACACCGAAACGCAAGAGGTGGATCAATTTGTGGACGCGGAGGAAAAGCAGTGATTCGGGAGAGACTGGAAAACAACCACCGCAACATAAACTATACTCCGGGCCCAATTCACCACCAAACCCGCGCCGAGGTCCTTTCCAGCATCCAGCCTCGCACAGAGTCCATCACTGCTAATCCGCCAAGCGAAGCACAAATCTGTCCACGTTGTTCGATCAGCAGTAACTCGAGCGACTGGACTCGACGACTACGCACAACCCCTTCTCCTTCCCACCACTATCATGTTCAACACAAGCGATTTTCCCCGGTTTAAAAAGCCGTACCACATTTGCTGGATACCCGATTTGATGCTGGATACTCGATTTGATTCTGGATTTTTACAATCCTGAGAAAAGAAAGAAAACCTAAAACCTCAAACTCAATAATTTCCTTCGAAATTCGATTTCAAATAAACAAAACAATTGGAACTACATGTATGCTTCGAAAACGTCTTCGCATCGGGTTTACCGTTTCGGGGACGGTAGGGGACGTGGATGGGGTTTTACGAGGTACGTCGTAACGTCCAATCTGGGGTGCTGTAGAAGAGAAGAATATCTTTCAAATGGGTACATCATGGTCTTTCGTTGAAGATGCGGTTGTTCTGCTTGATTCGGTCTGATTTGCTTGGTGCCTACTATCAGAGGTCGCGGGCGTTGACTGGAATTGATGATAGACTTCTTCAATATACGTGAGCACAGAAGTATACCAACTAGGAGGCATTAATCGGAAAATTACAAACTTTCATTCAATAAATTCGTTTCATGGATATATTTATTGATTGCTTTTTATTACTGTACAGGACTCTTTCTCTCTTCGTCTGGGGATATCACAACAACTGAAAGATCAAAACACCTTAAGACACCTTTGGCATAAAACACTCCCACTAGGAGAGATAGAAAGGAAGATAACACCAACCCTAGGCGCCAGAACCCCTAACCCTAAACACCGTATAACTCAAGAAATCCCATCATGAATATAGTTCACCCTTATATCCAGCTCCGCGCTCTAACTCGCGCCGGCGATTGCCGCGAGGAATAGCGCCTACCGAGCCGGGCACGTCCGTGTAGGACGCCGCGGCGGCAGCGGCAGCGGAGCCACCGCCGTAATGTTCCTCGCGTTCTTCCTCGAGCATGGCAGTTTCTTCTTCGATTTCTTTTTCCGTTTCCTCGCGCAGACCGAGGATATCGGGCGGGATGAAGCTCATTTGCACGCTCGGGGCACCCTTGATATACCGCAGCTGCTCATGTACCGATTCGACCAGGCCGGCAAGGTAAGACCGGGGATTCTTATTCTCCAGTTTACGAATCTCCGACAAGGGCGGGAACAGTGAGTAATCCGGACCAAAGTGTGTGCGGAAGGCGACCGAGTCCGGGATCGTGGGGTCGATTATTTGATCGGCTTCGAGGAGGATGGATGTTTCGTGTGCCCAGGCGCGAGAGACATTGCGAGGGGTATACCCGCCACCACCTACGACGAGGAGGGGTAGGCCGAAGGTCTTGGTGAAGGCGACACAGGCGCCGTGCGCGCGCACGTTCAGGTTGAAGCAGCCTAGTCGGTCGCAGCCGAGACTGTCTGCTCCGCATTGTAGGACGATTGCGCCGGGGCGGTAGGTATCGACGCAGGCGCCGATGACATCGTGGTAGAGCTGGATGTAGGACTCGTCGTCGATGCCGTCGTTGAGCGGTACGTTGATGGAGTGGTGTGCGCCGGGGTTGAGGGGATGCGTGGGACCCGTGTCATCGAGGGCTCCGGTTCCGGGGAAGAAGTTGTCTTTATCGTATTTATGGAATGAGACGGTAAGGACGCGATCTGTGGACCAGAATGCCTGCTCGACACCGTCACCGTGGTGCACGTCGATGTCGATGTACATGACTCGCGGGTGGTGGCGCAACAGCTGTAGAATACCGAGGACGATGTCATTAACGTAGCAGAACCCACTAGCCTCGGCCTTTTTCGCATGATGCAGACCGCCAGACCAGTTGATCGCGATCTCGGCCTGGTCATTGCACAGCTTGCGCGCTGCATCAACCGTGCCACCCGCGTACAGCGAGCAGTAGTTGTACAGCCCGTCAAAGATCGGACAATCGTCGCCAAAGTTGAACCGCACCACGTTATCGCTTTGCTCTGCACGGTCCATATCGCCCGGCATCACCTGTCGCAGGAAGTCAAGGTAGTCGGCTTCGTGAAACTCGGCCATTTCTTCGTACGTCGCCGCCCGCGCGAGGTACAGGTCCATAGCGTGGTGCATCCCATATGCCATGACGAGTTGCTTGGTCAAGGTGAGTCGCCACGGCTTCATGGGATGTGATTGGCCGAAATGGTGCGCCTCGACGGCCGGATTGGCGTGCCATGAGACGCGGTAGCCCTTTGGACGAGCGACTTGGTAGGTCTGGCGCTCGTGGGCCACTTTCTGGTCCAGGCTCAGGGTTGTGGACGGCGCGTCATACTCTTGGACGACGGAGGAACGCGCCATCGGTGGGGATTTGAAGGATGGGATGGTCGGGTGTAGAGAATGGCGCACTATCCAAGAGTTGACGTTCTCATTTCAAGGCGAATGGATTGAAGAGAGAGAGAGAGAGTGAGTGAAGGTTGAGATCCACTGGGGCGGTTCCAGAAACCCATGGCGATGACTAAGGCGATCTTGGGCCTGCAGCTCAGGGCTGGTGGGTGCTCCCGTGGATCCAGCCACTCGTGCGGGCCGATTTCACATACCTCGGATTGATACTGTCAATGTCGGCTTTTCCAAAGCGTTTCCTTTCTGTCCTTCTATCACATTGTTCCCTCACTAATCTATTCTCGCGCTTTGGAGCATGGCTGACTAAATGTCCTCTCTCACAGTCAAACGGCCTCGTTTGGCCTTGAGTTGTGTAGTATGCCGTCGCCGCAAGGTGAAATGTGGAAAAGAGAAACCCCAATGTCACAATTGTGAACGACTTGGAGAGATCTGTGCGTACGACACTGGCATTCGTGATACAGAAACAGGTCGCGTCCTGCGAACTGCAGAGACCGAGGAGACCGGTCTGCCTTCACGGGCAGTTCCAGGTGAACCAGCTTTCCATGGCCAGGAGAAGGCCTCGAGTGAGCCGGTTTCTTCCAGTGGTCAAAATCCGATCCCTCTAGCCCCTAATTATTGGAGTATTCAACGAGGCTCCCGAGTTCGCCACATTGGGAGGACTTTCTGGGGTTATGTGAATGGCCGGGTGAGTCAACCCAAACTTTGTTCCCTGATATTTCATACTAACCTTGTTGAAGGAAGTATTGAGTGATTCATTGATCTATAACGAGAAACCCACTCCAGCGGATCTACCTCCATCCCATATCTCAGTCGTCTCACTAGCAAAGGTTCTATTCGCTCTGCCCACGAGACCAGCAGCTGATGCACTCGTTCAATCTTTCTTCGTATCTGTTTATCCCATCCACTCCGTGGTTGATACTTTGACCTTTCAATCTGATTACGAGGTCTTCTGGGAATGGGCTCGTTCGGGGAAACTATACACCCCTCCGAGATTGGTTGAAGATCCCACATTCACTTGCCTACTTTTTGCAGTATTATATGCTGGGGCTTCAGGGATATCATCATTGAGATGGACGGATGGCCCACCCAATTTGAGATACCTGGATCGCGAGACAACCGTTTCAAAGCTCAAATCTGCTTGTGCTGATAGTCTGGCTGCGTGCAGACATTCCGAGCACCCGACTCTCAATACTCTGGTTGGATCGATTCTGCTCCATACGTTTACCAAAATTCAAACATCAACCGAAGATGCGCTATTTGTGGCAACGGCTATCCGCCTGGCTCAGAGTATAGGGCTTCATCAAGAAAATAACATGCCAAATCTTGATTCCACGAGAGAGCAACGACGTCAGATATGGTGGCACCTCGTCTGGCTAGATGTACAATCCAGCCTTGCTAGCGGCTTACCAACCTGTCTTGGATATAGTGCTCTAGGTGGAGTGCAAATGATTCCAGCGCCAGAGCGCTCTGTTGTCAAGCTCCTTGCGATCGGTCGGTATGAAGCAGCACGGCTACAGAACCAGCTGATGCACCGATTCCAGAATACTGCTACAAGAAGTGGAGGCCAAATATCCCAGGAGATGGTAAAAGATCTCTTGGAAGCAGCAAGATCCTTTGGCCATCTAATTGATAATCTCATTGTCAAGATACCGCATTTTGAAGATCCCCAGTACCTGCTCCCTGACAGTTTGACGCGGGCCTCCCCGGAGACCCATCTTGCTCTCTATCAAGACCAAGACGACGGGCCTACTTTGATTGGGACATGGTCACGAACAAGCTTGTTTCTGCTCAAGTTAGAGGTGGCTATTATGCTGAGGAAGTTGCTACTTGGTCCTTCGACTTTGACATCTTCCCATGGGCCTTGGCATCGGTACGTTGCATTTTACTAATCTTTCACATCCTATATTATTATCGAGATGGCGTCTAATGATTCTACGGACAGTATCTTTCAATTTTCACTAGTCTACCTCCAGAAATCCATGTCTCTGTGCGATTCTACAGCGTTTGAGCCGTATGCTTGGTTTGTCGCCGAGTACTATGGGGCCCAGCAGAGTGCGCTATTAATCTCGGTCTACCTGATTCACAATCGAGGAGTCAAGGACAGGAACCTTGCTCGCTACATCGTGGATTGTTACCTGGAATTCATGAATGAAACTCCCGACAAGAAACCGCTAACTCAGACGGCAATAGACGTTCTTGTTGGTCTTTGGGAGGAAGCTGACACGCACATGAACGATCACGGAGCACGCCCTACTATTCTCGAGCTCCAGAATGAGCTCGAGAATGACTTCCGAGCGTTCCACAATGCAAATTTGTGGGATTTAGTCATCGATGACTCGGCATTTGGCTTGCGTGGCGTTGATCAGGACGTTTGACCCATCTGACCATAGCAAACTCTGCCGTTCCATCCTGCGGGTCAAGCCATGAACGATGGGTCCCAGAGATATCTGCCGGGTGAACCATACGTCAAGCGGCCCTTTTTACGAGGCCCGGTATCGCTGCTTCTGTGACACTCACATCGGAGGGTATCATATCTCGCGCTTGCCTGACGTTCTCCTCGGCAGCCTCTATCTTTTACAATGCGACTCAGGTTAATCATTGATAAAATCTGGTAGGATGAGGAGATTTCGTGCCTATTGGTCAGAGAATATCCATAACTACCAGGGTCTGTGCGAAGGTTCTTCTCTTATGTCAGTAGTACTACGATGATTGCAACATGCCGAGGGAACTCATGCGCCATCTGCTTGCGCAGATCTTAACCGCTGTCAGATCAAGAGACTAGTGGTGCCCTATAACTATTTTACTATCACCAGACACGATCCAAACGGTTCGTACTAGACCGAAACCAGAGTGTTCGGGCGCCTCCTTCGTTCCTTCCTCTCCATCAGAGCCAGACTAGTAACAGTAAAAGGTCCACAAAAGTAAGATACACTTGAATCTCAGCTGCCATATTGGTGAACCTACAAGAAAGGATTCACGGGTGGGGGCCCTAGCTTGAGGTCCTCGGGTCCACTTCGCAACTTCTTTCCTTTTAGGTAGGCTCACGGCCCGACCCTCAAGACTATTCTCAACCAGATAAAGGTCAGCGGTTGTCCCCAGAGCTTTCTCTCTTCGATTGTATTTTTCTTGAGCATCATGAGTAGACTTCAGAGAGATCTGTCGGCTACCCTTCTGCCGATCTCTACTCGAGTGTCACTCGCATTAGACCCTAGAGTGGCCCGCCCGCCTAGCGACGCTAACGGGGACTGAAACAGCAAGATCCCCTTTGGATTGTCTCTTCATCACACAAGAGAACTCACCAGCAAATCTCCAAGTCTTGATGTGGACCGGTCTTTTGATGTAACGGACCTGGTTTTTCCACATGTCTACTGACCGAAAGGCCGTTTTTGCAGACTTCACCAGAGAAATTGAACTCTCCAATCACCAAAATGTGATCTGCGGGGGACTGTCACAGGTACTAACCTCAAAGGGAGTAGACCATGTTACATGGCCACGCACCATTGGGGGCCGGAACTCTGCAGCCCCCTCAACCTTCAGGCGAAGAAGTGTCTCTGCTGTACGGCTACCTTTAGTTGATTCTTCCAAAGACAGTCACGCCACCAACATCCTGTCTCCATCCTACCCTACTGGTAGGGTTATATGACTCGACTCGACACTCGAAAGACTGACGTGGACTTGAGACAAGCAAGTCAACACGGACAAAATGGGTGGTATACCCTGGCACTCGAAAGGGTGCATGATGTGCCGAAAACGCAAGGTCAAGGTCTGTCCTACCTTCTGAGCACATGTCGATGAACGTGAATCCTAACAGGATGGGGTAAAAACCAGTGCGACGAACAAGAGCCAGAATGCGCCCGATGCATCAAACGTGGTGTCAAGTGTCCTGGATACGAAAAGACTCGCATCTTCATCCATCATCCGTTGGCGAGACGGGAGAAAGCTCAGGCCTCCGTCCCAATCACTGAATCGCAGTATCAAATCGAGCATCAAAGTCCATACCAAGCCCAGATCCAGAATCAATATTTGGCTCAACATCAAGACCCCGTTCGAGCGTTGGTGATGCCCAATAACGTGACCTCTGGACCAGTAGCGCGCGAACAGGTTTTCTCGTCTTTCACCAACGTCTTCTTCAGCCATACCGAGGAGGTCTCCTCGTTAAATCTGTGGCAGTACCTGATCTACAATTTTGCGACCCTTCCCAACAAGACGAACATGCTTGAGAGAGCGATCTCTGCGGTGTCATGTCTTTACATGGGCAAGATGAACAACGATGATCACATGTACAATTACGGTCTAGACTTGTATGGAACTGCGATTCGGAGTGTGAAGAACAACATTTATCGGAATGCGTGGAACGCGGAGATTGTGTATACTGCCGTAATTTTCCAGGAGTTGGAGGTAAGAAGAGACGGTCTCTACACTCGAATCGATTCAAAGCGTGATCTAACCTGGCATTTAAGGGATACTGCTGTGCATTTGATCTCCGAGCATGGCTGGCCCATACTCTAGGAACGAGTACACTCCTGCGTTACTACCGCGATATTCTGCCTCGAAATCCCCTCCTTGACGCTATTTACAATCAACATCAGAAGATGCGATTGGTACGTGCCCTTTGCTGAATCTGACAGGATAGGGTCCCTTACTAAACCTGACCAGATCATTGCGACCGCAGGAGTCAACATTACAGAAGACGAATACCAGTATCTGAAACATTCAAGCGATGGAATTTCGACCCCGCTATCCGAATTGCTTGCGGTGTACGCAGAATTTGGACCCCTCTCAACCGTCCTGAACTCAATTTCCCCCAATGATCACGAGGGGTGCCAAAGTCTACTGCAAAATTGCATCAAACAAAAGAACAGAATCACCGCATGGTATTCTCAGTATGGCTACTCGAGGGGTCTCTTCGTGTGCGCTCCAGACGAATGCAAAACCGACGAGCTCCCTCCGACAGAGGAATTGTTCGGCGCCGGGTATCGTTTCTCCTCGCTCGACAATGCCAGAATGCATCATTGGTACTGGAACGCGCTGGCAACTATTCAGCCTATGATCTACAAGGCCAAATCTCTCATTCAATCTTGTCCGCTCACCCCTGAGAGCGGCTCTGGCGGACTCCCAGTCGACGACGAGGATCATCGAATGTCAGAGGTTTACGCCGATGAAATTTGTCGGACTATCCCGTACTATGCGAATGATACAAAGACACTTTCCGGAATCCGCATGTTGATGTTCCCCATGAGTGGAGCTATCAAGGTCTACATCGGCCTGGAAAATCGGGAGAAGTTCCTCTGGTGCCAACATGCTCTTCGCCTGATTTCGAACCGTGGTCTAAGCTCCTCTCGCCGTCTCAGCGAATTGTTCTGGAACAACTGGAATAATAGGACTGATGATTTGTGCCCCATTCCTTGTCGATCTCTGCGTGATGAAATGCTGTCTTTTGAACTTTCCACGGAGCACCAGGAGAAGGTATTTGACGTTGGTGAAATGCTTGAAGAGTCCAAGACCAATGATATGTCGAACTCGGTTCCCACGCCGACTGAAACACCGACTGAAGTAATGAAATCACCGAAGACACCCGTGGTTGAGAAGGTACCGAAGTCCATGCCAAGGACTAATCCCAAGCCCAAGGCAAAGGCAAAGGCAAAGCCCAGGGAGGAGCCAAAGGTCACGGAAGAGCCACAGATTCAAGGCAAAATTCAGTTTATCCAAGAGGTTATTAAGGTCTAAAGGGGTTTCAAGGTTAAGGCGTCCGGGAGCATAATTACTTGCACAGGCAGAAGAGCAACATATAAACTGTGTTGAGAAACCAAATAAAGGAAACATTATAACCAGACTTCACGCAGTCTTGCCTCTGTCCATCTCGATAGAACACCGTCCTCCATACTCATCTAAACTCCCGCGGCAAAGAAGTAAACTTCTTCACCTCATCCAAAGTCTCCTCCCACAACTTCTCCTGCACCTTCCTCCCATCCTCGGACCGGATATACTTTGAGACCCTGGACCAAAAACGACACCGTCAGCCATACACCACATTTCCTATCCAAATTCACATAATCAGGGATCCCAAAAACTCACTCAAGAACCTCCTTATCCCCCAAAAGCCTCCCATGCGACTCCACCCCCGCCACAACGGCGGCATTAACAACCAACCACCCCCCAACCTCAACACTCCTCGCCCTCAACGCCTTCACAAGATCAACAACAGCCCTCCAATAAATCGGCAAAAAGTCACTGATCCCCGTATCCACCATCCCCGGACAAACCATATTCAGCAATACCTTGCTCGGATCCAATCTCGGCGCAAGACTGTACATGAACATCGCGCAGAGGACCTTGCTATCTGCGTACCGCGAGTACGGCGAAATGGTCCCCTCGGCGTCGACATACTCCAGAACGGAGGTGTACGTAGCCAGGGGAGACTTTTTAGGGAAACTAGTCATGGCCTCGTGCATGCGACTCCCGAGCCAGGTCACCCGCGTTGGCGAGCCGGTCGTTTCGGCGCTGGCAATCAAATACGGGAGTAAGGTTGCCAGGAGGAGAGCATTGGAGAGGTAATTGACTTGAACGGTCTCTTCGTGGCCCGTTGGATTGGGTGTGTATTTCAAGCGACTTATTCCTGCGTTGAGGATGAGGATGTCGAGTGTCGGAAGGGTTTGAGGAAGCATTTTGGCGAAGGATGTTATGCTGTCGGTGTCGTTGACGTCGAGGGGGAGGATTTTGATGGTTGGGTTTTTGGATTGGATGGTTGGGTCGGCGAGGAGGGTTTGCATACAGGCTTGGCCTTTGGTTTCGTTGCGGACGGCGAGGATGAGGGTGGTTAGGTTTAGGGCGAGGAGTTGCCGGGCTGTTTCGAGGCCTAGGCCTGCGCTGGCGCCCGTTATCACGGCGGATTGGCCTTGGAGGTTGATGTCGGAGGGTAGGGGAGTGACTTTGGGTTGGAAGAATGGCATGTTGGAGGGGTATATGTGGTGGATTGAGGGTATAGCTTGTTGGGAGGGTGTCTGTGGTGGAATTGATATTTTGGTGAAACGTGGATTTGAGCACGGTTTCTTGAGCAGGTTATATAGATAATGCCAATCAGTGTAACATTCTATTCTGGTCTATAGCTAGCCAGCTTGCATTATTAATTCGGTTCTATCTTTCCCTTGTCCGAGGAGTATTTTGTCATCTTGTTCCTTCTGTAGAAGAACTACGAGGTGCTGTATACAAATTGACATCAGCATTCGGCCGACGATGTGGGGCTACGGGTCACCAATAAGAGGTCAGATCAGAGCTCGGGTGTTTGGTCTGATATCGAGAGGATGAGATAATCTTGTATTGATTAACTATATCATGCATTGAATGTGTATCTACGCTCGTCCACGAATCGCTGAATCATGTCAATTCCAACCTGCTGTTCGCCTATAGTCATTGCGACCTGATTACCCCACTTCCACCGCCGAGGAGGCCGGCCCCGAGGGGTTTACACCTACGCCTGCATAAGAATCCCTGCAGGATAACTCGGCACTTCACATCTATCTACCGAGAGGCCGGTGTCGGTGGTCCTAAACCACATCTTCATGCAGAAAATGGCTACTACATAACTTGCAACACATCGCCACGCAGGTCAGAGATTGTTCGGTGACGGCGAGAAATCACCGAACGAAGACCGATGACATAATCGACTCCCGGTATCGGCATCGGCACGGCGGGTGGGGAGAGTGCGCATCACCATCGACAAGGATTCATTGGTGGGGTCATGCAGAAAAAAAAGTGATGGTTTACTGGGTAACACACGTGGCGATGGGTAGACGGGGTATATAATGGGTTGATAGCGTCCGGCCATCGGGTTATTTCAATCGGCCGAAGAACGAGACATACCTCTCTCTTGTCACACGTTCTGTTCATCGCGTCGGCTCTGTATTTGACTGCTTGATCAGTCTTTCTATCCTCTTGTCAATCCGGTTTTCAACAACGTCATAATGTCCTTGAGCTCAGGTGCAAGCAATCTACGCAAGACCCTCGAAGACCCCAATGGCTTCGTGTGTGCCCCGGGTGTATACGATGGTCTCTCCGCGCGAATGGCCCTCGCGGCTGGCTTTGACGCCCTATACATGGTTAGTAGCAGAAAGAGCCAAACCGTTGCTATTCCAAGCTAACAGCTGATCTTCCGCGCAGACCGGCGCAGGAACTGCCGCCTCAGTCCACGGCCAAGCAGACCTAGGCATCTGCACGCTCAACGACATGCGCGCCAACGCCGAGATGATCGCCAACCTATCCCCGAGCAACCCCCTCATCGCCGACGCAGACACGGGCTACGGCGGACCGATCATGGTCTCCCGGACGACGGAGCAATACGCCCGCTCCGGCGTCGCAGCCTTCCACATCGAAGACCAAGTACAAACCAAACGCTGCGGCCATCTCGGCGGCAAGCAACTCGTTGACACGACAACCTACACAACACGCATCCGCGCCGCCGTGCAAGCACGGCGCCGAATCGGCAGCGACATCGTGGTCATTGCCCGCACCGACGCGCTGCAGTCCTTCGGATACGAGGAAAGTCTGGCGCGACTCCGTGCTGCGCGGGACGCGGGCGCAGACGTGGGCTTCCTCGAGGGCATTTCTTCGCGGGAGATGGCTGCGCAGGCGGTGCGTGATCTTGCGCCGTGGCCGTTGGTGTTGAACATGGTTGAGCATGGTTCTACGCCGGCGATTTCGGCGCAGGAGGCCAAGGAGATTGGCTTTAAGATGATCATCTTTCCGTTTGCGACGATTGGGCCGGCGTTGACGGCTATGCGGGAGGGATTGGAGAAGTTGAAGAGGTTGGGGTTGCCCGGGCTGGATAAGGAGTTGACGCCGCAGATGTTGTTTAGGGTTTGCGGGTTGGATGAGAGTGTGAGGTTGGATGCGGAGGCTGGGGGTGCGGCGTTTGAGGGGGGTGTGGATTTTGCGAAGTGATTCCTCTCTTGTTTCCTCCAGGGAACAAGACCCTCCGGGTTCCTCTCCGAGGGTCATGGAAGGAGGATTGAGAGGAAGACTCGGCCTGTGAGCTCCGCGGGCTGGACTTCCTCGTCCTTTGGGGGTATCGTGGCCTGTTCGAGTGGGAGCCTGCGCTGGTGCCGATATTGATCGGCCGAAGCCATGACACTAGACTCCGTAAATAGTAACGTCCCCATAGTTAATGATTGACATTCTATTCTTGTTGCAATATATTGCACTCTGCCACTTGGGCCATGATCCGATTCCGAGTCGCCCGTGTGGCTTGAATACCTATTAAAAGATCACTACTCGGTTGTATAAAAATAAACAAGAAAGCATTGACTCTTTACGATGGTCGGTGTCAATGATAATGTTAGCGTGGTACTTCTACCCCTACTTCATGACTAATATTCTGCCACCCTTTTATTACGACTTCATGTAATTAAACCACTATAATACAATATATTACCGCCTAGTAAGGTGTATGACCCCCCTGCGCATCGATAACAGCCTGGCAGCGCTTCTGCATCAAATCAATCTGCTGGTCTAAAAAGCTTGAAGGAATCGCATCCTAAGCAGCTCGCACAGCCTCGCGTAGCTGATCATAAGATAGCTTACGATCATAGTCTTTCAAATACCGATCACCGATCCAATCTTTTATCCAATCCCAAACCTTCTCAATTGGATTAAGATCTGGCGAATACGGTGGCCAATCGATAGGGTATATCCCACGATCATAAAGCTCCTCGATAGTTAAGAGATTTCGATGAGATGGTGCGCCGTCTTGCATTACAATTAGATGTTGATCTAAATGATTGCGAGCCAGCGAAACCATACCGTCGATAAGAGGCACAATTCGCTCTGTATATTGAGCAGCAGTAATAGTGCCCCATTCTTTCTCCCAAAATAGACAAGGGCCTTTCTTATTATTATAGAATGAGCCCCAAAACATCCAGCTAGATGCACGAGCAATTCGCTCTCGTACACAAGTATCATCGAATTCCTCACCAGCCCTACGCGTAACATAGATCCGTCGATGATAGACCGATGTAACCTAGGTCTCATCAGTCCATAATATCTTTTCCCACTGCTCACGCGTCTAATTAACGTGCTCTAGCGCCCAGATCAGACGCTGTGCTCGTGTACGGTCAGATAAAGGAGGCTTTCGAAGGGCCTTACATCGATGATATCCACGTCTAGCTAAGGCCCTTCGTAAGGTAATAGAACTAACAGGGAGTTGTAGTTCTTCTATAACCCTTGAATACGGCATCCGTCGTGTCTCTTTCGAAGATGAGATAAACTCGATTATCTTATTAAGCTGTTCTTCTGATAGCTTTCGACCTCGGCTAGGGGCCTTACGTGGTGTAGGCCTCTCATTAGTGCAAGCCTTTTGGACCTGACGCTGGGTAATGCCCAGTTTTGATGCAATTTGGCTATAGGTAAGCCCCTGAGCGCGCAGTGTACGCGCTGCGATGCGCTGATCACGACTAGCTTTATGGCTAGGGGTATGAGGGGCCTGGGGGGCCGGGGGGGTATAGGGGGTATGATCGGATCTTTCGTGATTAGTCTCCATGGTAGGTAGGTAGGTAGGTAGGTAGGTAGGTAGGTAGGTGGAAGGGTTTGAAACATATGGTATTGCCCTAATCCCTATTCGGAAGGCGGTTGGAAGGTGTATTAGTCATAAAGAAGGGGTGGAAGTACCACGCTAACATTATCATTGACACCGACCTTCGTAAGTCTCGCACGGGCAAGCCAGAAAATCCCCGCTCGTTTCAGAGTCCCGCCGATCGCAGGGTCAACCAAGGGTCGCCTCCCGTTCGGGTGACCTTCAACCTTGGATCTCGACCGGCTCCTGAAATATTGTCAATCCTAATGTACTACTGCATTTTGGTAGAAGCAGAATGCGACCGTGTTGATAGTGAGAGCGGATCTTCACTCGACGTGAGGAGAAGCCGGATGGACCCTTGCACCAACCTGCAAATTGGGAAAGCACCATGCAGGCGTAGATTGGACCGAGGGTCCTTACTAATTGATCAAGCGCAGAGGGAGTTTCTTCAGGACGAATTGAAGAAACAAACTATGTACCTAGTCCTACCCATTGATCTATCTTTAGTGGTTGTAACTGATCGCACTGCCGAATATTGGCAATTGCATACTCGACAATGCCTCTACTTCTAGGCCACCACGATAGATCACCGACTACTCCGACCAAGTCACACAACGGATTTTCCACAAGAAAATTACCACTCTGGAGCCCTCGATGGATCTCATTGCACCGGTCCACCCGACGTACCCGGTGGAGTCCGGAAGATTCTCAAATTCTCTGACAGACTGGCGGAGAACACAATGGACGACACACCGTTGTTCTGCCAACAAGGCCGGGAGGCAAAAGGCTGGAGCCCAGTGCTTCGTGTATCCACCCGTACGAAGGACTTTGCACGTCCGTACGGAGATTGTTCCTTCCATATGGATCCCATTCCCAGCCAGACCCTGCAAGACCCTGCCAGGGCACAGGGGCCGGACCCATTTGCCGAGTCAGGGATGGAGCCACCGACACACACATCGTTACCGTTGGGCGATCGTCTGGTGGATCGGACGGCCAGACCGGGATCAGTGGAATATCGTAATAACACGTCGAGCACTTCGTATTCATGTACAGTATGTACAATGGCCGGTGGACATTTGAACAGTGACTGGTCGGGCAGGTGTCGGGTCGGGCGCGTAAAGAAAGTTGATGAGTTGTCGAGGCAGCGCGGGATACGTCTATTTTGGTGGTGAAACGTGTCGAGCAACTGATCTTGTACACAAGCTCATCATCAGGGACGGCGAGGTTCTCGTCTTACGGTCGAATACCACGTACACAGTAATCATACGGAAGGACAATGTCTCGACCGCCACGTCAGCTTGAGATGGGCTCCAGCCTGGGAGGCTGCACCGATTGGCCTGTGTGGGGAAGGGCCCAGCGAGGTGGTCTTGGAGGATCTTGGAGGGTCTTGGGAAATCATGGATGAATTGGTTATGCTCTAGTTAGTACGAAGTACGAACGTAGGAAAGACAAATAGTAATAGTATGATCTGGTATACTGTAGCATTCCAATGGATGGGCATTCCGATGCAAGCACGTGTTTGGCGTGAAGAATGTCGATAGAGTGTGCCGAGTCTAATTTGAAGTCGGACGAGTCTACGGTCGGAAGATTACCACCAATTTGCCTTCGAGAGAAGATTCGGCAGGTACCAACTGGGATCAGCAAGTCATCTTGTGTTCCTCCGTATTGTCTATACCCAAAGATACCGAAGATACCGACGCGGTCAGGCAAGAAAGGGGGGCGACTCGGCACTGGCAAACAGCAGAATGAGGTGAGATGGACGATCGAGGTATCGTGTACTTCCCTGCAATATGCACCCCCCATAATCAGCCCAAGTACGAAATACCCACCACTCGACCCTTTCTGCTCCCTTGTTTTTTTTTTCTCTTTTCGAGGGTCTCGGCCTAGTCCGGCATGCGCCAATCAGCATGTCCGGTGGCTCCCATCGGGCTCCAGGAACCACCAGAAACCACCAGGCACCGGCCAATCATCGCCCACCAGCCCCTGATGTCCGATTTTTACAGTTTGTTGTCGCGGCGGTTTTCTGGCGGTCTTAGCGTGATAGATGGGGTCGGGTCTCGTTCCTGTAAGCCTGTGTGAGCCTGTGAAGTCCCCATTTACCTGTTAGTCCGTGGAGGCAGAACAAGCCACCAGGGACTGGGCCAACTGGGCGAACTGGGCCAGGGACCTGGAGTTCTGGTCCCCTAAACTGCAGGGTCTAGTACAATTCCCCCCCCCCCCCCATCTTATTACCCATCTGACGCCCCCATCTTCATCTCCCTTTCCCTCCCTTCCTCTCCTTCACCACTCCCACCCACACTCATTTTTTTGTGCTCTCCAGCTTCGAGCGTTTCTTCGCTCTGTCACTCTTTCAAAACACTTCTTGTATTTTCCCACTTCACGTCCAATCCTTTAGAATCCATCCCTCCCATCAAAAAATGTTCGTCAAGAACTCCCTCCTCCTGGCTGCGGCTCTGACCGCTGGCTCTGCTGTGGCCCGTCTGCACGGTCATGAGCGCCGTCACGCTCACCCCAAGGCTGAGATCGAGGCCGTTGAGAAGCGCGCTGGTGAGGTTGTGACTGCCACCATCGACGGTATTCTCCAGACCTGGATCAACGACTGGTCGGGTCAGATCGAGGCTGCTACCACCACCTCTTCTTCCACCTCCACCATTCAGGTCACCACCGCCACCGCTGCTGCCGTCGAGACTCAGGTTCCCAGCGCTATTGAGTCCGTGGTCCCCGCTCACACTGCCGCTCCCGGCTCCAGCGGCTCTTGGTCCGACCTCCCCGCCAACGGCCAGTACTCCCGTGACGGCTTCGGTGGCAGCAACTACAAGATCGAGGTTCTCGGCATCGAGTGGACCGGTAACACTGGTCTGCCTTGGGGTAGCAACATCATCGAGGTCGAGGAGAGCGTCGCCAACCAGTACCGTCACGTCGTCCGCTTCGAGGGTAGCCAGAGTGACGACTGGACCGTCATTGTCTGGAACAAGAAGGGCCCCAACGGCCTGATGGACGGTTTCTTCCACCCCAACAAGGCTCTCTCCTTCACCCTGGGCCCCAACGAGGTCAAGTACGTCGCCATTGATACCGAGTCCACCGGTGGCTGGGCTGCCTGGAAGGGTGATGATGCTCCCCTCAGCGAGTACGGAAGCTACGCCGCCACCTGGGGTGAATTCACCATGCGCGAAGCCCCCAACTTCACCTCCTGGGACGTCTCTTGCATCCAGGCCCAGAACGCCGGCAAGGAAATCCAGGGTATGCAGATCTGCCAGCACGACGGCTCTAGCTGCTCTTCCATCACCAACGGTATGGGTAGTGTCAAGAACGCCTACACCTCTGCCGAGACCGACATCAACGGCATTGGTGGCAACGTCATGACCGAGGCCATCCGTCTGGTCGTCAACCTCGACTATGCTTAAATTCTCGACCCTGCTCTTCCGATGTCAGCGTGATCTTCAATTCGTTACCCTTCTCGCGCAAATGATTTTTCTTCCTCATGCCGGGGAAAGGGGTGCGGTAAATGCTCTGGTCATTGCGCACCTTTTGTCCTTTGGTTGCGCTTCCATTGTGGTACCCGGCCGCTTGTCCTCTCTTCTTTTTGCCGTGCTTGGTCCCGGGAAGCGCCATACATATCCTTTGTGGCCATGATCTCTGCTGGTTCTTCCTCCCTTTTTCTCCAATTCTCTGTACATATACCACTTCAGTTATTATTGATATCGACCTTTTTTTTTTCTCGTTCAAGATTTTGGAGAGATGGCGTTTTATTTGTAAACCAAGTCAAGCTGCTTTGACCATCGCCCTCGTAACGTTGTTAGTAAAACACCTTTGCTCATAGCCTTGCCTCTCATGCTGGATGCTAGCTTGTTTGTAAGACTAGGCTTGCTCGGAAACGGGTGAGTTGCTGATCATCGTGGCATCCCAAGTTGTGGGTGGAGTAGATAATCTCCAAGTGTCCGGGGATAGTAGGCGACGACCTGAGGATTACACTGCACACTGATAGGTACAAAGACCTGAAGCAAGGCTTGTATCACCTTCCATGCCAGTATGATGAGCGGTAGTGGGACATCATCCTGCTTAAATTGAGGACACGCTGTGGAACGCAAGGAGGGTTGGCCGAATCAGATGAAATAGAAAGAAAAAAAATCAACAACTGCCAATAGCCAATAGCCAATCACGAATCGGAATAACTGGGAAAAGGTAAATCAAATTAGAATTGGAGGCTTGAAGGCTTAAAAAACGTATCTGCTGGGCGTGACTTCCAGTTCCTCTTATACTAGAGTGCGAGCCGCCGGCCCCCGGGGCCGGACTCAACGGTTTCGCCCCCGATGCATCTAGATTCTAAACCCTGGTCATATTAAGCGCTTATTTGAAACGCTGGTCGTTTATACTAGCTGCACGCTTCTGCGCAGTATCTGCGGGCTTTTTGCAAGCAGTCACAATGAATTCTAACGACCTAAGATTGGGCGCTAAGATATCGTTCCTAAGAGGTCCAGTATCCGCCCCTTGGGCCTAGCCTGGAGGCAGGTCGCTTGTCTTGTTAAGTATCGATTGGCGATGGGCTACAATTTTCCGCTCCACGACTGTCACCCTGCCTGCAGCAGCGGTGGATCTTGCTCATTTCCATCTTGATATGGTAGGAAAAGAGGTGCAGACGGTTAATGGGGGCCAGGTGTTTGACGACGAATGGCATCCTAGTTGATCCTAGACTATGGGGCCAGAATGCAGTCTAAGCTCCCTAACGCCAGCCCGTCGCCGCCGATCCTGCAGCCAACGCTAATCTGCGGGCAAGGCTGCGTCTAAAGACCGCCTACCATTGGCTACCATGGCATCGCCCACTATGGTGGGATAGCGGAGGGTGTCACTGCCCCTCCCGCTGCAGTTGATCCCTGATCGCTTCTGCGTGACTTAAGGGGGTTTCTTAAGACCCTGGCAGGGTTTGCGGCTGATTATAAACATGAGGGGGGTGGACTCTTATTATGAGATTGAACATATTTTGTAGCCTTACCTTATACGGGCACTACGTTGAGGCTTGAGGCATTTTAGGGCATTTGGCTTGCCTGTCGCTGGTCTGATTATGGCGACGAGGCAGTATAGTCCGAACGAAGATCGGAATATCCTTGGCAACACAAAGTCTTATTTCTCTCATCTTGTGCGCTCGAGTCGCTCCTCTCCACGTGATGGACGTAATCAAGGAGATGCGTCCAGCCAGAATACCCCGAGTGTAAATGTGCGCCAATCTACACGAGCGAAGGTCCACGAGAAGAAGACAGGAAAGACGCCAGTAGCGAGCTGGATCCCCTACACGTTTCGACATTACTTCATGGGCATGCTGAGTATCGTGACCTTTGGTTTGGTGCTTGTGACGTTCCTGCTTTGGTGGAAATCTTCGACAAACTATGGAATAGGGCCCGATGATGGCTCGTCTGCTTTGCTTTTCGGCTGGCGATACAGTCCGACCGCGATCACCGTTTTATGGATTCAATTGACCGCCATGTTATTTGACGATGTTAAACGTACCGAGCCCTATGCCCGCTTAGCCCGACCTGAGGGCGCAAAGGCGTCGACGAGCATCTTGGAAACGCCGAGCCCCTGGTGGATTACTCTATACCGAGGATTCGCGAAGAAGAAGTACGGCCGGCGAAGTTGGATATTAGTTTGCGCATCACTGATCAACATTGTTGGGTTTCTCGCAATTTCCCCGCTGTCTTCTGCCTATCTATACTCGGAACAGATGGTCGTGCCGTATACGACTGAGTTCTTGCGTTACTCTCCGATGTCAAATTCGCCCCTTCCTATCGATATGGATCAGACGACACACTTCCGTACCATCGCAAATCTTCTTCAAAATGTATCAACTTCACCCTGGATTACGGATAATTATACAATCCTACCATTTTGGCCCACCAGTCTCGAGGATGGAGCAATCGGCTCCTTACCAACGAGCTCTCAGCAGACATGGAAGGCGGAGACCACGATGTTCAAGAGTGAACTGAACTGTACCGAAATGAAAAGTGTTACCGAGAACGCAAACTCAGAAAACATCTCCATTATCTGGTCTTCCGCTGATGGGTGCAAGTACGGACTTTCGGCGACGCAAGATCTTTTCACAACCGGTGGAGCCAGTTGGTCTAATACTTCAACCTTCTTCTACGCTGACGAAACCCTTTTTGTGAGCGAAAAGTTCTCCTCATCAAACCATACATTTGAATGTAACGGACGTGAAATCATCATCGCAACCGAGCCATGGCCGTCGGCAACGAAGCCAGGCCGATACCTCGCTCAACTTTGCAGTACCAAGTATTATATGGCCAATATCTCGGTCACAGTTGCCTTGGCAGGGGACGAGCCAGAGATCTCTTTCAACGAAACCGATTTCACTGAGAATAGAATGTTAATCCCGGAGACCGTTATTAACACCACCATGTTCCAGGACATGACCTTGGCCTCGGAATGGAATAGCTATATGATCACGTCTCCTTCGATGATGGGAGGAGCCTCTGTTATTCTTGGTGCCCTGTACGACTACAATATGACCAAGCTTGTCAATGATCCAGACATGGTGTCCTCTGCAGCGAGAGCAAAGCAGCGCTACTTCGGTGAAGTCATCCAGTCAGGCTTAAGCCAGGACAATACCGCCACGAAAGTTCCAATCCAGGCTCAAATCCGTGCAGTGGAAACCCGAGTCATGGTTCAAGCTGGTCCTGCAGTTGCCATGGGCATTCTCTTTGGCATCTGCTTTTTGCTCTTGCTCGTCGTGTGGTGGACCTCGCAATTAAAGCTCCGGCCATTGAACTTGACCAAAGACCCAGCAACCACCGCTGGCGTCGCCTATTTGCTCACGCAAAATCCGAGGACAAGGTCTGGTTTCCAGTCTTTGAGGCAGCCGTCAAGCAATGATCTCCAGAAGAGACTGGGCAGCGAATGGTTCTACACAGACTCCCAAGGGTTGTCTAGAAACCAACTTGAACAACCGAGAATTGAGGAGAGTACCCAGTCCAAAAATGGAACACCTGGAATACTCCGCTTACCGGCACTCATTGGAATGGTTGTCGTCTTGGTGGCTATTGTTGTTGCCGTTTGCGTACTCTACCATTACGCCGAAGGATCCAACTTGTATCAAAAAGCGTTTGTTTATCAGTTCGATGTTTCCTTCTTGAGTGGAAGCGTGTCCTCGATTGCTCCCTTCTCGATGATTCCGACTATTGTTGCAGTGGGAATCGGTCTGTGGTGGGGCGCAATGGATGAGAATTTCCGTCGCTTGCAACCATATCTTTCCATGGCAAAACACGATCCGCCATATAAGCAAGGTGTTGATCTCTCATACCAAACATCATACTGGTTTTGGGCAGCTGGCAAGGCGGCGTTTAACAAGCAGTGGCTGCTTTTCTTGGTCACTTTAGGATCGACTCTATCACCGATTTGTACGTTCATCTACACCATCTTCCTCATTTGCAGATCACTGACTCCTTATAGACACTACTGCCATGTCTGCACTTTTCGATCGTGGCACTGGTGTCATCGTCAATCCTATAACACTACAGCGCAGTCTTGAGCTCCGTGAAATTCCCTTCATATATGAGACGCAGCAATCGGTGTACCCCGGCGCATCTATGAATTATCCCACCGCCGTGCTCGAAACTCTCTACCAGAACCTTTCTTCTTACTATATGTACACTGCTATCGTTCAGCTAGCTCTCAACGGCTCAGAGCCAGCTTGGAGCAAGGATGGCTGGAGCTTTACTCCCCTTGATTTAAGCAGTATCTCTAGTTCAGAGTCTCTTGCCAAGCTCGGCGCCAGTCAAGCAGACAATCTGGGCTCGGTGTCACAAACTAACGTCACGTTTAACACGCCTGCCATTCGGGGGCGGATTGAGTGCAGCCCGCCCCCTATGCAAGTCCTTGCAAATCTCTCTTCATGGACAACCGCCACAGACCTGTCTAACCATACCGTCTGGAATAAGAGCACAATTCCAGACGGCGTGCGCGGCGGTTATCAGCTAGGCAACACGTATAAAAGCAGACATTTTCCGAGCAGTATAACCCCCCTCTTACCAGGGCAGAACCAAACTGAATGTCTCGGCTGCACTACTGCGTTTGTCAATCCAGCTATGCTTACTTGCTGCGGCAATGGGAGCGCCGATTCTCGCATGGGCAGCGTGGCAATTGGATATTGGTCTCCGAACGACGCCCTCGACTATTTTTCGCCAACCTCTTGGCAAAAGAATTTCACTGCTAAGTGGTTCTATGGTGATGCAATCACAGGAATCAAAGTGAACAACAATACTGTGACGAGCCAGATAGACGCAGGGCCATTGTTTCCTTCGCCACCGTCAATCTCCTTGTTCAACTGCCAGCCTATCATCGAGACTGCAGATGCCACTGTTACTGTCGATCCGTCAAGCGGCGCGATTCAATCGTTCAACATCACAAGTTCACCAAAGGTGGCGACGGGGGCTTTTACAGATAAATTTGTCGCTCATAATGGCTCCATCACCGACTTGCGTGCCGGTTATAGCGAATTCAACGTGACAATCAGGTAAGCCACGTCTATATTCTTATTTCCATGTAGAATGACCCTAAATTACGTCCTAACCGTCGTTGTTAGCTACGGACACATCTTCATGAGCACTCTCCTGACTGCAGCCGATCTGCAACGCATTTCCGGCGTCTCCCACACCCTCGGTTACACACTCGAAAGCCTTGATGACAACACCTTCAACATCCGGGATGAAATGGAGGGCCTAAACATGGATTTCATGACATATGCGATGTATTCAATGGCCAAAAAGAACCCACACGCCCTCCTGGACACAGACACGTTCGTCAATCTCGCGCAAAAGACATTCACGACTTTCTTCCAGCATTTCGTCGGCAGCAACATCACCGTGAATACCGGTGGCTGGGCCTATCAGACGATTAACGCTAGTCTCCCGGCTGACCTTGCCCCCGCGGTCGAGTATGTCAATGGGTATATGAGCGGTTCCAAGGCGACGGCATACCAGGATACCATACATCCCATCTCGCACACGAACAGAACGGTCGTAGTGCAGGTCTCCCAACGCGTCGAACTACTCCAGATGAACGCCGTCGCAGTCTGGCTAAGCATCGGAATAATGGCATGGCTCATCCTCACAACATTTATCGTCGCCATCCTGCAGAAACGCTACTTTGGCCGACTGGTGCGCAACGTCGAGTGTCTGGGTGACGTGCTTGTTCTCATCGCCGGTAGTGCCAACTTGCTTCGGGTTGTGCGCGAGATCCAAGCTGGACGGCTTACACCGGAGGATTATGAGCATTTGCGGACCCGCTTGGGTTGGTTTGTGGATGAGGATGGCGCGTTGAGGTGGGGTGTTGAGATGGAGGAGGCCTTTAGGGATGGGCCGGGTGTGCAGTGGGTTGCTGCGCCGTGCTTTTCGAAGAAGGGGACTAAGACGTGGAGTCTTTCGGATGAGGATAGACAGTCGTAGAGGGAGGGTGGTCATTACGTTGCGAACCTCCTCATGTTGAAGGTGTAGTGGGTGATTTTTTGTAAATATTGTCTTGGGGACGTACATATTGATCAATGTAGAAGTTGGTAGTCTATTTATTGTACAGTACATTGTTGATTCTCTCGCTCTTCGCTGGAAACAGTAAAACAAGAATCCGATTGTCTGCCCCTGCAGCCAATGGATGACAATGGCACCATACAGAGGTGCTTTTTGTTTGCTCTATGATGATGAGCCAATTCCCAAATCGCCAATATTGCCCATATTGAGGAAGTCGGTCGCGGAACCTGCATCGACGATACCTTCGGTGCCTTCGTCCTCTTCTTGCTCCTCCTCGTGATCTTGTTGGCCACTTACCAAGGGAGTGATCATGCCAATGTGGAACATGTAACCCACCAACAAGGCAACTCCGCCCACGACAGCCGCGACGGATGCGTAGAGGTCATTTTTACCGGCGTCGGCGGCCTGAGACACAACAGCCCGCTCAAGGCCCGACAGATCTGCGTCTGGGGACTGAGCACCCGCCTTCAATCCGTTGTAATTGCGCAGATTGCGGAGGAGTGGGGTGGAATCAGCCAGCGTATCGAGGAGAGTGCTACTGACAGCCGCAACGGAGATACGGCTCGGAGTCCGCCATGGCAGCGATGACGAAGGCGTAGACTGCGGCGAAAATGCATGGGCAACCTCCACGGGTGCCTGTCCGAAACATCGTCGCCGCACTCGTTCTGTATAAGCCGCAAGCTGTGGACTCTTAGTCCGCATAGCATCTCGCAGCCATGGGAAGGTAAGCTCGGGTACCAGCGCCAGCGAAAGGTATCCCAGTGCAATGCAGTCCAGACTAGATAGAGCGTCGTCCTCATTTTTGGCCAGAAGGTATGCCTTCTTGCCTAGCATGGCCTCCAGCGGCTCGAAGAACTCGCCCGTCAGCGCCTCCAAGCGGAAATGATTCTGCTGCGCCGTCCGGCCAAGCAATTTCGAAACCGTGTCGCGTGGGCGTGCGATCAGGGCCTTGGGGACTCGGCCAGCTGCGACTGCGGCTGAGTGTTCACGTTGGCGCTGCTCTTCCATCGCTTGTAGGTCCAGCGACGAGAGACCCAGGTGTTCGGTGCGGGCTTTGGCAGCGCCGTGCAGCTTCGGCGGGAGGATCCATTGGTTCGGCCATTGAAGAAGGTTTCCGTACGCGGGTGATGTGTTGCCATAGTAGTTCTGGCTGCTCACGTACAGGGAGAGATCGATAAGGACTTGACCGCGGGATTCGACGAAGGAAGAGAAGCTGGAATGCAGCGCGCGCGAGCGCAGATGTTAGCCGATTACTTTCTGCCCCCTTTGGGCGCTTGCTTTACCAAAGCTTGGAGCTGGTGGTTTCACGTACGCGATACTATCCGCACGAGCTGTTTCGTCAAGCTCGCGGTCCAGATCCCATTCCCCGTTCGAGTATTGGCGCAGGTAATCCACGATGTTGCGGAAGCGGCTCACCCATGTCGAGCCATCTTGCAATGCGGGCAGCTCACCTAGGCAGCCAAAAAAGCGTTTCAGTCAGCTCATTGCGCTGGGATTCCGATGTTCCTGGTTGCTCCGGTCGGGAAAGCGGCGCAAGAGCCATCACGTCACTCACCAGTAGGAGACACCGAAGGGTCACTAGTCGCCACCAGCTCCCAAGAGCCCTTGGGGAGGGCTAATGAGCAGTAAGCAATAGCTGCGAGGCATTGCGCATCAATTGACGGCAAAGTAAAGGCCGGCCCCCATATATGCAGTTGCAAGACCATTGTGATTTTGGCTGTACTGGACAGAGAAGGATGGCCCGCGGAGTGGCCTCGACTGGGTTGCGGGCGGATCACGTGTGTTTACCGTCTCTCAGAAATCATCCTCCTTCATACTTGTCGAGCAAATTGTAAGTCAATCAACTTTCTAATTTGCAGTGCTTTTCTTTCAGAGACTCGAATGACCAGTCACATCAATCGGTCCTCTGATCTCATCTAATCTTACAACATTTGAGGTAGAGATGAGCTATAAACAAGGCTCACCGCATAGCAGTCTCATACTCGGCGAGCATAGATTCGATGGTTCTTACTATGACCAGTGTAAACCTTTGTCTGTCTATGCACCTCTTTATAAACCTGTTTGTAGGCTCCGAGAATGAGGTCCATCATCGTGGGTTATATATATCTTTTTTCATTGCGGGCTATCCGAACGATGAACAGTCAGATAAACAGATGGCAAATTGAACACGGCTTTACAATAGAGTTGAATTCTCCAGTTGAACGAGATCAATCCAAGGAGCAGCTATTAAAGTTCCTTGCGCCTAGGAGTCTTGCCAATACGTCACCCACTTACTCCTTCCCTTCAGGACTTCCACAAACTCTCTTGCGATAATACGATCAGTTTGTTCGGAAGGATGTAGCTCATCGTACCACATATAACTATCCCAGCTTGACTTTGAGGTACAAACAGAAGTTGAACAGCCAGCGGCATAACCGGTAACATTCAACCGCACTGTCCCATTGAGATAAGCAGACGGACGATTCCAGATATCAGACATCTATGATATAGTTGTGTGAGAATCGATCGTTGTTGTTTGGGATAGCATGGCCTTACCAGAGAATGAACATCAAAAAGAGTGAATTGGCTTTTCGCGTACCTGTTCGCGACCTTGAGCTCATAGGGAATTTTGTAATTGTATATCCCATTGACTAATATGCTATATTCCCGCATAGTTTCACTGATTTGTATGAGATTTGAATTAAACTGGCTTTTATCTTTCCAGTATCTCGAATTGGTGACTCCGCCGTTCTCTGGAAGGGCGTATTGGGGGGTCAGATTCAAGGGCGCGATGTTCATAACGACAAAGTTTCGTGCGCCAATATCATATAAGCGGTCAAGCTGCTCGAAGACGCAATCAGTGTACTTGGTCAAAGGGAATCCCTTTGGCTGACTATCTGTAAAAAAGACCCCGTTTCCAAGGTCATTTGTGCCTATCCAGATTGCATAAACAGTCTCGGCACTAGGGTTGTCAAGCACCCTTTGACCCGTACTATTGACATATTCATTGTCTGCAAGAAAGGATGGAATCTGATCTTGTTTCACTCCGTTTCGCGAGGTTGGAGAGAAGATTGAGTCGCACACTGCTCCAGATCGCGCGTAGTCGTAGATCTTCACACCAGAGTACTGATTCACATACTCAGGCCAAACGCGGCCCCCAGTTGACAAGACCGCACCCTAAGTTTCCAATGTCAGCCATTATCAGTTGATATGAGCAGCTAAATTAAGCATCGCATACCGGTTCTCCAACCTCCCCGTTTGATCCTGGCCTATACCGTGTCAAGCCTTCGTCGGTATAACTATCACCGAATATCACCACAGCTGAAACTTGCTTGGATTTTGACGTGGTATCAAGTGTGGGGTAAGCCCTGACGAAAGCAAAAGCCAAGGCCAAAAGGGCGGTGAAATGGCACTTCATGTTGAACTCAACACTTCAAGTTTTGCGTGTGGTAGTAAAGTTGGGCCAGTTCTCAGATCCTCCTCCTCGAGTAGAGTGAGGAGATTTTGAAGCATTGATCTATCATGTAGATATATACTGAGGTATCGGGTAGAGATGAGCCGATGCAATTGCGCATACACTTGTAGAAAATCTTCATTGGAGGGAAATCAATCACAATTTCTGCAATGCATTAGACAGGCCATTTGTAGCCTGTTACGGTCGGCAAGTTCCTTGTCCGGTCGAAGATGTACGTTTGAATCTATCTTTGACCGACGTAGTTCCGGTCGTCCGGTCCAAAGTCCAGGTTGTATTCCTGATCCGTTCGTTCCTCTATATTGATACTGATTCATTGGTGGGATTGGTGCCTTGATTCACCCCCGCTCTAGGAGGAACATTTCGAGGACCCTTTGATGTTCTACAACCTGGTTCTAAATTTTTACAGTAAATGTCAGCTCTTACAATATAAAGTCTAGCAGTTCACCTCCATGTTTTGCGCATCTTTCAATACCAGTGCTTCTCAAGTTGCCATCATCCTCTCAGAGTCTACTACCATAGTTTGCTACACGAGATGACTACAACACTTATTGAATTGTACATACTCATTCGGCCTTCCGAAGAGGATCTTAAGAATTTAAAGGCCATCAATGTCTTATTAACATGCTGGCATTTGTTTTCATTCGCACTATACCGCTCAACTTAAGTTCTTTGGCATACTCCTACCGAGGTAGGACTTTGGAACAGAGTCGTGGAGTAACGCAAAATTTGGAAGCCAAACTGTCATATCCTGACAAGTTGTCTCGAATAACACTAGATTTTAACCCAGCTGGAATACCAGTCTCCACAAAAGTATTCTACAAATTGCTACTTTAGTCTTCCACTCAGGCCGCAAAAAACTCCAATCAAAATTGAGCCAAAGTCTGTCTGGTGAAGCCCATACTTAATTAGCTCAACACTCTGAAAAGTGATATTGAGGCTGATGGAGTCTTCATCTGCTGTAACACGATAAAGCTCGCCCTCATCTCCGGGAGTTTCAAGACCTAGCTGAAAGCATCGATCGAAAGAAGCTGCTCAAAGTAGGCACAGGCATCACCACACTCTGATTCTCGTCAGCCAGTGCACGACATATAACGGCGCTAGTGGAAACTGTAGCTCGTCACTTTTCAGAATCTCCGACTTCTCAGCGACAAACTGTCGAGGCACCAGCAATTAGAGTTATGTCACCAAACTCCTGTGCAGTAGAGCTGCTGGTGGTGGTGACAGCATTAGGACCGAGGATATCCAACTTGAGAAGATTGCAGTGAATGCACCGGTCGACGCAACCAAGTACTCTTGTTCTAATGTTAACGATCATATTGGGTTCAGCTGCTAGTTGAGCTTTATTTTGTTTTCCATCGACATGTGGCGAGAATATGAAAGGAAAAGATTCTTTCTGCACTCAACGTTACTATTTACATCTCCAGTCCTTTAACCAGAACACACATAGTCCCTAAACTCCTTCAACTCCTTCGGCAGCACAGAAAAGTCTTTGTAGTATACTGGAGTAGCCGGATCAATGCAACTACCGCTGCAAGGTGGCTTGCAGCCTCCGAGGTCTCCCTCTGCCTTGGATCTCTCGTAACCACCACCTATATACTCGGTTTGTTGCATTGAAATCAATGCTATCGTCGGGTATTCTGTCAACCACAGCCACAATTACCCGTTGATTGCTACAAATTGAGGCAAGGCCAGTCCTACACACTTTTTAGCCCCAAACTTAATCTTAGCTTGTCATGTGCAACTTGAGATACCATTTGGGATAAGCTCGAGTATATAAAGAAAGTCATGCCTAGATCACGTCAATTTCCCACAACTGTTGATTACAGCAACGAGGTCAAAGGGGCGATTATAAACCTTATAGCGCGGGGTAATCGGCGTTGGGAGTGGTAAGGTACGTGAGAGGTTCTTGTTTGAAACCGGCAAAACTGATCAAAAAGGCAACTCCCGGTCCGCCACAAAGTATATATCAAGAATGGGATGAATATTAACTTTTACGCAGGGACATTCATCAAACCCTCAGGCACGACAATCTGATTCGTGGATAATGTTCGGAGAGTCTATGCGGCTATTAGTTGCTGATTTAAGTAGCTCAGGGACTGTCTTTGTTCCTTGGTTTTTAAGATTCAAGTGGCGCGAGAGCACGGTTGATCAAGACGGTGCTAGCGATTCTCGGAGTACACCATACGGTCAGTGCTGAAAGCTGCGATGCTGGCGATTTTACCCGATTCATCGAATTCAAAGTTTGCACCAGTAAAAGACTTCAACCCGGTTGAAATGATTTGTGAGGAGAATATTTCCGATGAATCATGCAACACTTTAATAGCTATGGCCATGGTATTGCTTCAGAAGTATGTACAGTACATTGGTGCCCTCGTATTCTACCTGAGACAGTTACAGCAAATCACGATACCTCGTAAGTCTATTCTATCCCGCCCGTCATCATCATCGTCCGTTCCACACAAGGCAGGAGGTTAAGATGTCCTGCCAAGTAGTCTTCAAGTATACATTGACATTCTCTCGTATCTATCTGGGATAATCCCTGCTCTTTTCGTGATTTTGTCTCCATGTCAGCATCCCTGCATCTTACACCAGCCGCTCTTATCGCGGCTCGCTATGACCTCACGACAACACGTGCTTGCGCCACAACCTGGAGATATGTTTAGAACGTCGACTATTGGCCCTCGAAGAAAAGAGGAGTACAGTAAGACGATTGAAATGTCAAAGCACTTTCCCGGATGTCGCAAAACGGCCCTACGGCCAGAACCCTGTCTCTACCTACTCTTGCGGGGAAGGAAAAGAGGGGCTCAACCACCAAACCCATGAAAGCCAGCGGATCGATATTACGGACTGTATCGTTCAAACCCCCATTTCAAGGGCCACTTTCCTAAAGCGGGATGAGGGCCTCGGGTTCTCGACCATGAACAGCCTCAACAAGCAGTCAGCTCGGGAGATCTCCGGCTCCTTTCGCGTGTGGATGATGACATTGAAGTGCGAACGGACCAACAGCCGTGCGGGACTCCCGCACGAGCCCGGCGCCAATCCCAAGTATCACTGATCATCGAGTCATCACAGCTCATAAGCGTAGTAGTCCAAGACTCTAATGCCTCTTGGAATATCCACCTCAGCCCAATGTGCATTCCCCAAGGGCCCCGGAGCACAAGCACCGGCACCATCACTATTGGCCAGGAGCTCTTCCTAATCACAGGGCATACCAGTTACCTGGGTATGCATCCCGGTTGGCAACGGCCCAAGGTCAATCCGGCCGACACGGACAGCCTTGCATGTCTTTCCTGATTTCTATATTGCAAGGCTGCCATCGTGCTCTCCACGTGGGGCTGGCGACATCATCGTATGAGTTGGCCATGCACGTAGATGGAAGGGGAATGAAAGCGGCAAGAGTAGGAGAAATAGTTGTACGGAGGACGGGGCTAGATACGCTGCAGTTAGTAATTAAAGTACCTCTGCGTATCTTGTAAATTGTATCTTGTAGCCTAGCGTCATATTCATTCCTGCAGCGCAACATGGGTTAGACTCAAATAACGCCATGCATGTCCATATCGCACATGGCCATCGCCGTCGATAAGAGTCGCGCCAAATCGGTGGCACATCCGATCGGCCGGCGGATAGGATAGTGGATGTGGACCTGCACATGCAAGAGAGATGTTCGATTAGCATATACTTCACATGAAAAAAAAAAACATAGCTAGATACACAAATATGCAGATGCTGACTAGACCGATAATAAGAATCCTCGTGTACTGCGGAAAAATCAAAACAGGGACCCCCCCGTGTCCCGTGCTGCGTCAGTCGTCTGACGACTGCCGGTGCCTTGCGCCTTGCGCCTCGCTTGTCACTATCCCTGCTACGCCGGACGCATAGAACTTGGATAGCGGTTGGCAGGTGGTGAAACGAGCGGGGACGATGGTGTTTCATACTGCTGCGACCGCGAATGTGATTCACATAGACTCCACTCCGTACATCATTCCGATTACGTGCATCACGTTACTCCCAATCTGGTTTTGGTTCATTCCCATTTCGGGTTTAATCTAGTTTCTACAGTGAGGACATAAGAGAAGATTATGCACGACATCGTGCGATGATAACGTCGATGATAAGAACCGAGGACTGCTTCTGCGGGGGTATATTAAATAATAAAAAAAAAGTCTATGGTACATGCCGTTGATTCGGAAAATCGGCCCAATAATGCAAGCGGCTAAAATGACAAATGAAGAATAGGAAACAAGCCTGTAGAAGATGAACACCAAGGAGGGGAAAAAAAGAGGATTACAAAGAGATGGTGATGGTCGTCGAAATGACCTGTCGGTTCGACCTGCGAATCGGGCAAAAAGAAAAAGAGAATGCAAAGTCAAGAAAAACTGCGGCAGCGAATGTCAAACTGACGAAAGGCCGATCGCAGCGCACAGGTGATCGAGATGATCTGTGCGTTGTCAACAGGGCACAGGAACGGCGCAAAGCACTGCCAGCCAATTGTTGGAGCCGCGGCTGGTGGAGTGAAGACTGTTGATCTCCGCATCTGCGCGTCAGAGATGCAATCTATCAAGATTCGGGAGATTGCAACCTCTCCCGCACGTCCGAATGGATAGGAAATGTTGAGTTATCCAGATCTTGGAAAGCGGGTTGAAAGTAAAAAAAGAAAAAAGAAAAAATGGTAAATAAAAGTGTTGTATCGAGGTGGCTGAGGAATGCGGAAAGGTCGAAAGAGTGGGGGGGCCTCATGTAGCGCCGGCGCTGGGTCCCCCTCTCAATGGAACGACCGGGTGAGATTGAATGGTAAGAAGACAATGTAGGAAAAGCATGCGATCGCATGCTTTTTCCCTTGGCTTCCGTTCCCTCCGTCGAACCGAAGGTGAAACGAGCGGGTCGTTTAACGCTCCCCTCTTCTGCGCGCGCATAGCCAACGCTGCAGTTGGTTGAATGGAGCG